CGGCAAAAAGAGGTACGGGTACATAGCCATGTGCTGACGGCAATCGCTCGTCCGCTGGACCGGTGGGGGATTTGTTCTGCGATACTGTAGAACGGGTGATTGTGCGCGATATTGATCCTGAGCTTTCCGTATCGTTATGCCAAGAAACACATGGAACCGTAGTGTATACCTTGGCTACTCGCCATGAGCGCGCCAAGGGGAATGGACAGCAGACCTTGACATTGTGTCTTCTGATCATCAAGAGCTTTCCCGGCGGCCGTCCTAATCTTTCATAGACGTACGCTGCCCCCTTCCCCCTGGGACCGGAAAACCCAGGACAAGTAGCGTGGTAGCAAGGTTCGCCCAGCCTCCCTAGTTCAAAGCCGTCGAACCACTGGGTTTCTGGATGTTCTATAGAATTTCTGGACTCGGGTGCTCAGGTCTACGAACGAGGGGTTGCCTTGCTTCCAAGATGATTGCCACTGCCGCTGCTGGACCATCGTGTAATTCCAAGGCTGGATGGCATGATGGCTCGAAACAGTAGGTTTGGACGATGGGTGACGGTAAACTCGCGAAGCCCGAGTGGCTATACCAAATTGATTCATGCTCGTTGCGATCAGTAAGTGCACAAAACAGACGGAATGGCAGGGACAGCTGGCAATACTTGACAGCTGGGCAGCTCACCGCGGTTGATCCTGTTGCTTGCTGCCCTGCGTGTTGCACAGTACGAATATAGAGTGTGATTGGGACGCTTCGGTCCTGGTGTCCGAACATTGCCCTCAACAGAACATGCCAAAGAATTTTGACATACGTCATACTGCCAAAGTGAAGGAAGCGTGATGACTGGGAGGGTGCGGCGGTTACTCTTGCTGTGAACTGCCGTAGCGAATCATCCAGAGCAGTGTAAGCTCCTTTCTAGCCCATTGGAAGCCATCGCCCATCTATTTCTCGACGGCGCCAGACGATTCGTGTTCGTAGCAGCGTGACCCTGCATGCTCTTGGAGGCCAGGAGGTTCGTTGATAACGCTTGGCGTGGAGGTTCATAGTGTCTTCGTCGGTACTCGGCCCCGAGGACTCCGCTTTCCGCTATTTGTACATCGTCGTGATTTATTCGTACTTGTGCAATCGGCGTGATGCCGGCCGCATTGGACTGTCAAGATTGAGTCGACCCATATGTCGAGTAGGCTGCTCGGAGCTCGTCCGCACTCCGGCCACCGGACATGTTCCCTGACCACTCCAGGGGTTTATTATTTCTCTCGCGTGCAGGCTGCTGCTGCAGCTGCTGCACACTCGGGATGTCAGAACAAGCCGACCATCGCCTGTATATCCGTACGGCTAGGAGGATGAGAGCAAAGTTAAGTTGTGCGCGGTTTTAATGTACCGCGTATGCAGCCACCTCCCTGGCGCGTGTTTTTGTTCTGCAGCAGACAGACAGCAGGTGCCGCCAAGAAGAGTTCCCGAATGAGAAGATAGGTCTGAATGCCGCCCAGTATCCCACGCCCAGCGAGCATCTGCATGGTTGGTGCATCCACAGAGCAGGGGCAGATCCTCGTAAGATGCAGCTGGCGGGTACCTCGGATCTCGAGGCGGCGAGCAAGGCAGTGGGCAGCAAGGTGCCCTACCCTGCCCTGCCCTTTTCAGATACCCATACATTGAGCGTGCCGTGGCCGGACTGCAGCAGTGCAGAGTAACGATACCACGTCGATTCGCGTGCGGCGGTCGTGACGCTTGCAGGGTTGGCAATCGTCTCATGAATTTTGGGCGAGCATGGTCAGAGACGTATACCTTGTCCAATTGGAAGGACACCCATGGCCATGAACCGTTGGAAGCGGCGGGTTTTCCGTGTGTACTGTACTGTGTACAGAGTAGTAGCATGGTTTGTAATCTGTCTGGATGGTCAATGTCGGTGATGAGAGCTCGTGTGGGTGTCGTCGAAGATAATTCTGATGATTGTGTGGCCACCTAGGCGGTGCGACATGGATAGTCCAGGTTGTCAGCGATGCGAATGAGCGACGAAGCTCGCGCTGATGATAGGATTAGCAGGGGTTGACGTAATGATTAGTGTTTCCCCGGCGGTTTTTGGGTGTAGGAAAGGCCGCCAGAAGACGAATTGGAGCGATTCAACCGCGTGTATCGTGTGTCGTGGGTGTGTCAAGTGCATTGTAACAAGAAAACAGCCGGGCGGCATCCAAGGAAGGCCGAGATACGGAGAGCCAGCAGGGCCCCGAGAGGATGACAACGCTGTTTCGAGTAGCTGTGCGTTGGCTGTGGTGGTGGTGAGAGAGCGACACGATATAGTATGATATGTTGAAGTGCAATTGGCAGCATTAAGACAAGAATAAGGGTTCATCACATCTGCTGGCGCGTGCTGGCCTGCAGGTGGAATCCAACCCGGAATCCACCCACGCACGTACGGTATCCTCATCATGAAGAAACGGGAGTTGGGGAGGGGAGGGGTCTTTTTGGGGGGGATGACGGCGTAAGGTAACGAGAAGGGACGAGGAGGGGTCGAGATGGCGGGCGGGCGGCTGCTCCTTCTGGCGGATACTTCACCTGTAGGGGAAGGAACCTCACCATCCATCGTACCCGTGGGCCATGCCTACCTTACTGCGTACAGGCCACTTACTCCAGCTGACGGGAATCGAGAGGAACATGGTCGTGGGAGACTAGGACCACATTCGCGGGAGTGCATGCTGCAGTCTGCACAGGGCATGTCTCTTTTTGGGGGGAAGAAGCCACTAAATGACACCGCCAGCAACGTGTCAGCGTGGGAACCACAGCGGCACGGCGGCAGTGCCAGGCGGGATAGTTCGGGGCGTGTGGACCCTAAGGTACGAAGTAAGGTAGGGTAAGGTATGAGGTGCGATGGTGGACGTTGTTCACTGTTAGGCCCCGAGGGAGGGGGGAGTTACTGTGTAGGTAGAGATGGATCTCTAGCCATCTCAGTTGGGTCGGATACATGGCGGGAATGGTGGTAGGGTCACTCGGCTGTCTGGCTAGGGCAAATGTTCTACTCCGTACCTACATGGAGTACCTACCAACTCGAGACGTACTCATACCGAACCCGGGGGGTGGGAAGGGTGGTGGATGCTTTCTTGCTGGTTCGGGGCAAAGACGCACGAGGAACGACAACCAGGACGGGGACCAAAGGAATTGGGGGGAAAAAAAGGGGGGTCATGGAAGTATTGGAAGAATTAGAAGAAGGGAAATAAAATCGGGACAAGAGTTGAGCAACTTCATGTTCCCCGTCGACAAGGAAGGAGCCACAAATGCTCGGCAGGCACAGATTAGCATCGAGTACGAAGTACGGACGACGAGTACGAAACTACGAAGAATATCCGTACTGTGCCTTCCCTTCGCTGGAATCGCCTCAGGCTCTTACGATACAATCCAATCCAATGCGACACGACACAACACAGTGGTGCAGGTGCAGTGAGCCAGCAGCGTGCCAGGCCTTTTGCTCAAATGCGGTTTCATTTTCAGGAAGGTGTGCGGATGCGGAGTTCTTTCCGCCCATGCCCACGGCAAACTGGCAATAGAAAGACATGGCAAGCGCCAGGGCAGGGCATCTCAAGCAAGGAAGGCGGACAGGCAGACGCTACTACCTTGGCTTAGCACGGCATGGTTGGCATGGCATGATACCGCCGCAGGAGAACCGTCTTGAAGAAACGTACGGAACTCTGCATCAGTGTACCAACCACCAAGGTACCAGCCTGTTTCCTACCGTCTTCACCTCCCTGAAATCGTGCAAAAGGCTGTCATCTGGATGGTAATGATGAGAAGGTTTAAATGTCCCGTCCTTGTTTTCGCGACTTTTTTGTTCTTCGTGTATTTCCTTTTGGGCTATGAAGGCTGCAGTCATGAGATACCATCGAGGGGAGGGTTTCCCTGGAGGATTGGATCAGCGTTTAATAACGAACCTACCGCGAGGCATGTAGCATTGCTCGGGGAATTAGACTGATATTACGGTAAAAGCAGACGGTGAGACAAGTGACTCGATACCAACTAAACCATTCGATCATTACTCGCTAACCTAGGTAGCACTACTCAGTCGCGATGTAGATACGGTGAGGTGAGGTAACTAGAATAGAGCGCACCGAAAAAAATATGATGTGCATCCGACCGCTTAGAGTCAAGGGGAACATGGCAGCGTCGAGCATAATAATACAGCAGCGCATAGCCCAGTCGATCTAATGCAGGCCTTGACAATGCTATGCCTGTTTCTCTCTCCCGTCAATCTCTACTTCCTCTCTCCCAGTCATCTCTCTCTCGTTAGGTTGTGAAGCGCCAAACTAAGGTGATACCGCACGCAGGCTCACCTCCTGCGTAGATACCTACCCGTTCCAGACATGAGCAGCGGAAAGACGGTGGTTGATGAGGTACCTTATTCCAAAGTAGCCAGCTACCTACCTGAGGTAGCTGCGATACCGGGTGCACCTCAAGTCGGGAGAGGAACATGGAAAAAAGGGTTCGCGTCACCGCCCTGTTGCAGACCAGAGTAACGGTAGGCGTGAACCCTGTACAAATACTGACAGGTTCCCTCGGCCAGGTATCTTGTTCCGTACCGTCTTCCTCAGGCGAACAGACGTGAATGGATTACTAGGTGTAGCTAGTTCGATTTTTGACACTCGCCTGCACACTGGACGTCGACCGAACCAAGCAGCCAAGTTCGCATTACCTAACCTTTCCTCCCATTCCCTCCCGTGTTGTCTGTTTCCCAGCACACACCACCGTCTCTTGAATCGCGTACCTCAGGTATTCCTCAAGGGCCTCGTCTCTGCGTTTACTGCAGGCATACACCGTAGATCTGACCATACAGTGCTCGCCCTGTGTACATCGAACGTCGGGTCTCCGAGGCAGGCGTGCCCAGGCAGACGCAGGCATTGGCAGGCGCTTCCTCAAAATTTTCTCAACTGCCCTTGGAAATCAGGACGGAACAAGGGTGCTTGTACCTTCCTGGCTTGTTGCGCAGCTGTTGTCGTCTCGTCGCGCGGTCTCTTCCCATCTCTCTCCTTCTTTTGCGCGGTCCTGGGCTGTCTGCGTAATTTATTCTTCCTTCTGCGTGTAGGTGTGCCTAGAAAAATTTCCTTCTCTTTCGGAATTTCCTACCTTTGCCTGCCACCTCTCACTTCTTCTCTGCCCATTGAGCCCTGCCCTCTTGTTCGTCTTCGTCATCAATCTGCCGCTTACCTATTCTTTGACGGCACGGCTGACTCTGACTCGACCAAAATTCCATCACCGAGAATCAGTCCTCGAAACGGGCCACACAAGCAAGAATCCGGCAAATCCTCTGATATTTATTACCTTAGCCCCAAAGTGGATTGAGTGCAAAAAAGGAAAGAAGCCAAACGGGTCACCCTCCCACGCCCACCTCCCACACCTTCCCAGTCACCCACCTCACTGATTTTCATTTTCGCATCCACACACACCCCCCAAAATTTTCATACCGCGGTGACCTCCAGCTTTCTTGTTCCGCTTCGGCCAAGTCCTCTGTTCTCTTCTCTACTACCTACCCAAGAAGTCGAGGTACTCGTTAAACTCTTACTTAACCTTACCTACTCGACAACGCGAGCAGAAACACAAGCTACTTGCCATTCGCAGTCACCTGCATCAATACCGTACAGTATCGGAGTATCCTACCCTTCGTGCCTTCCTTGCACAAAAAGGAAGAAGAATCCACCGGTACACCACCATCCCACCCTGGTCTGCTTCCTGCCCACCTTTCCCTTCGTCACCTACCGATCCATTATCCGTCAACCAGGATTCCGACCAACGGCCAACCTCCCACACTTTCTCCGAAAAAGGCCCTTCATAAAGACCAAGCCGGATCCACTCCTCCCAGAAGGGGCGACGTCCAAACCCACTTCTTCCCTTTTTTCCCCCCTCCACCTCTTTGGACGGAGCGACCATTGCTCAACGGTTCCTGCCTCTCACACCCTCGGCACCCACCCCGGCAAGACCACTTTTTTTTCTTCCCACTCACACACCCCTTCTTTCACACCCCTCTCGGCGGCACCAGGTACCTGACAGCTTTTTTTTTTCTTGCCGAAGAGCAACGCGAGAGAAAAAAAAATAAAAAGGATCGGGGCCCATCTGCTCCACTCCCGACCCTCCCCAAAACCACCTCCAAACGGGATCAACTGGAGCCTCATCCCACCACAGAAAGTCCACCTTACAAACAACACCTCTCAGCGCGTGTTGTCTTCTTTGGGTTCGCGACTTCCTTCATTCGTCTGGCGGAAAGCTTATCCTAAAGAACTTCTCGACTGTGCATCACTACACTCGAGTTTACTTCTTTTTTCGCCCTTGCAGCATCATCTCAACTGGGTCGGCGACTTGACTGTCCTTGTCCCACAAAATTTTTACAAGAGACCCTCGACGAGTCCCGTACTGACAGACGTGAGAACGCGTCTCGATCTCGCAACAAGCAAGCTGCTCTGTGCGCCTTTGTCTCGACAAAAGGCCAACAGACCTGCCGTGGATAGCATGGACGCTTCCCAGTACCCTACCAATGGTATAAACACGACCTCGGCCTCCTACCCGTCGCCCCCCGCCATCACGCCTCATCAACTTCAGCACACCAACTCCCCGCTGCCTCACCAGACTCTGCCGCCTTTGCAGCCGCAGACCTCCGCCGCCATGAACCAAATGTACGGCAGCAACCCTCACACACCTCGCACTCCTGCGACGCCCAACACTCCGGGCTCCCAGAACAACATGCCGCCGTACCAGCCTCAGCAGCAGCAGCAACAGCAGCAGCAGCCTCGCGGTCCCTACCAGCAGATGGGCCAGTACCCTCCTCCCCCCCAGGCGTACGGCACTCAGTCCATGCTGCCCCAGACCACGATGGCTTCTTCTCACCCGCAGCCCATCGCGCCTGCTCCCGCGTCTGGACGCGTTCCTCCCGTCCTGCGTCCCATGCCTGCTGGTGGTGTCATGCCCCAGCCCGGTATGAACTCTCCCTACGGCCCCGGCGGTGTCATGCCCGGTGGCATGGGCGAGGCTGACCAGCCTACACACGTCGTCGGCTCTCAGGGTCGCCGTGGCATTCTCCCCAGCGCTCCCGGCCGCCCTGCCGCTACTCCCGCTGGCGCCGGCAACACCAAGAGCACTGTGATCCCGGTCAAGGATGCCGATGGCAAGTTCCCTTGCCCTCACTGCACCAAGACCTACTTGCACGCGAAGCACTTGAAGCGTCACCTTCTGCGCCGTAAGTCATAACCCACTACTAACTCACGCAGCCCATTCCCTTTTACTGACGCGGATTATCAATAGACACGGGCGACCGCCCCTACATGTGTGTGCTGTGTCGCGACACTTTCTCGCGAAGTGACATTCTCAAGCGTCACTTCCAGAAGTGCTCCATTCGCCGAGGTAACCCGACTGGTGCTAGTCACTTGTCTCACCCTCAGGCTCATGTCAAGAAGAACGCTGCTGCGCAGAAGGCGGCTCTTGGTCAGGATGGCGGTCTGAACCACCTCAATGGTCTGGGTAACATGCCTGCGGATGGCATGGTTCAGCCTTTTGGTATGATGCCTGTGTCGGACGGAATGAGCAACCTTGCGAACGATCAGAGTCAGTTGTCGCGCGCCAGCAGCCTGACTAGGCTTGATAATGGCAGTAACCAAGACAGACGGGATTTGACAGGATCTGTCATGGATGCTTCTGGCCGAGGTGGCAACTTCGAGCAGGCATACAACGGCAATGTCCCTAGCTCCATGACGCCCAATATGAATCAACAGATGCAAAACTACAATATGCCCCCGGGTCAAAATGGAATGTCCATGTATGGCGGGTCGAACTCGAACCAACAATCGGGCCTTGATTGGTCTCAAATGTTCCAGGCTGGTGCGCAACAAACCTACGCAAATCATACTCAATTCCCCCCTAATCTTGGACAGACGCAGATCGCAACCAAACCAGAGCCTAATACCGGCGTTGAAAGTACAGAAGGTCCCCCTGGCCACTCCAACCACCCCGATTCCCTATTTTTCTCGACCTGGGACGTGCCGCCATCGATCCAAGACCCTTTTACCCATCTCTCCAACCAGATCCTCAACTTCTTTTACCCTCCAGGTTCCCCGATTACCGATGAAAGCGCCGGCTTCAACCTATACTTCTCCGCCGAAAACATACGCGACTTCTTGGAAAAGTACACTCATTTCCATGTCCATTTTCCCATTCTCCATACACCCACCTTCCGTATCATGGAAGCCTATACTGGCTTGTTGGCTGGCATGTGCTGCATGGGTGCCTGCTACTCTGACCGTCTTTCCCCAGATCACGTGCGCGATATGATGAACTTCCTCAAGTCCGCACTTGTTCGCGACGTGCAGTTCCTGGCCAACTCGCTGGGCCAGCAGCAGAATGGTAACGCTGACGCTGGTGCCTCAAGTAACGGTCATCGTGACCTTGAGCAACTCCAAGCTGTGATGCTGCTCCAAATTCTGCTGATCTGGAATAGTACACCGCAGCATCGTGAGAGCGCTCGTGAGATTTTCCCAGCCATGGCGGAGCAGACTCGTCGTCTTCGCCTGTTGGAGGTCTCCACCAGCATGCCCCTCTTCAGTCCACTGCACCAGAGCAACTTTACCCCTCAGAACTTCGATGTCTCCACATTCGATTGGGGTGTGTGGGTTGAACAGGAAAAGCGGATACGCCTGATGCACATCATCTTCCTCTGCAACTCCGCCATGGAACTCTATTTCAACGCCCAGTCTCAACTCGACAGCTTCGAGATGCACATCCCGCTGCCATCTGATGATGCAGCGTGGGACGCACGGACGAAGAAGGATTGCGAGGACGCTCTGGGCTTACACGGAGATGAGTTGGCACAGCAAAAGAATCCAAACGGAACACGGCGCAGCAAGCAACCGGAAATGGACTATGCTCTCCAAGCTTTGCTTCACGGATCCTACCAGATTCAGCCAGGCAGAACGAATCTGTACGGAAAGTTCATCTTGATCCACGCCATTCTGTCCTTGATTCGACGAGCTCAACTGGACGGTAGTGCCGTAATGAAGGGTTACGCGACTCCACCAATGAGTGACTGGATGGTGAATGGTGGATCAGATAATGGCATCAACAGCGGCAGGGCAACACCTGTCGATCCTGCTTTGCAGGGCATTCCGGTACATGTGCACGAATCGTTCCGCATGGCCCTCCAGAAGTTCAAGACCAACTGGGATACCGACATGGTCAACCAATTCCCTCCTGGATCAGCGAAGAACGTCCGTAGGTATGGTTTCTCTAGGGATGGCATCCATTTCTACTGGCTTGCCAAGTACCTTTTGAAGCATACCCGGTCATCAGAGCTGCAGATGGAGTCGGATGCGCGTTTCATGCAGGTGATGCAACTATTGAAGTCGGTGAAGGCGTGGGTAATGTCGGATGGGGCGTCTAGGGGTGAAGACATGGGATCGGTTGGAGAGATCGACAAGGATTTTGGAGTGTCGAATCTGACACTCGACATGGCGCGACTTTTCAAACCTCTTCCGGCGGTGGTGGAGGATCCCAGAATACCTTCTGTGCAAACAAACATCGGCACAACGGGCGGCGGCATGCTTTGACATTCACAAAAAAAAACCTACTGCATTTGGTCGGCGTTTTGTTTCTTTTTACTCATTTTCATCTTTTTTCGTTTTGTTTCCTCACGGATCCGTTCTCATCAACTCATATGCTTTGTTGCGGAAAAGCATCTCGATTCCCTCTTGCATCAAAGCCGGATTGACGGTGGTTACTTCTGATATGCATCTTGTGGCGGGTGGTTTCATGCGATAGACGGGGAGGTGGAGTTGGCACTGCATTAGACTGCGATCAGATAGAACTTGGGAGGCTCTCGGGTGGCACCAGCGGTGGCCCGATGAGGTTGTCACGATATTCATGGCTTTTCGCTCATAATGACTTGTTTCGGCGGTTTGCGTGGCTAGGCTGGTCTGGTCTAATGTTAGATGTCTCAAAATGGGTGGTACTCGTCTTTTTTATCGCGACAACGAAGAAAAAACAAACGAGATGCAGAGGCAACACTGCCAGCACAGTTTTTTTCATTGTTCTTTTGAACTAGTAGCATGAACTTAGACATTAGAATCTGCAAAAATCGACTTGACTGTATAAACTCAACAACCAACTAACTACCTTGGCCATGCCTATATCTTATATCCGGTGAAGACTGTCTCTAAATCACTTGACAATGGTGACACCATGTTTTCCGTTCCTCAATAACAAGACCCAATCATCTTCTCCCCCCCCCCCCTCCCCCCCAGTGATGAACGCCCTGCTCACACACTCACTCACTGACTGCACTCGCTTCATTCGGACCTATCGACGACGGTGACCTTTGGGACGTACTTGTCGACGACGGCCTTTTCCTCGGGTGTGGGTTGGTACTTCTCCTCGGCCCGGTCGGAGAAGTAGAGGCCTGCGCCGCCCCAGGCCAGGACCGCGACGCCGAAGCCCAGGCGGGTCTTTGGGGTGAGGTTCTTGTACGCCCTGTAGGTGCCGCGTGGGGGGTTTTGTGAGTATGGACGAGGGTTTAGGTTCCCGAGTTTGGGGGCCGTGGGAGAGGGAGCGGGAACGGGGGGAGGAGAGGTGAGTGGAGGTGAGGTGATGGGGCTGGGGGCTGGGGGCCGGGGGGCCGTGGTGTGGATGAGCTTACTTGAACATCTGGTCTATGGCGAGGCCGTGGAGGGTATGTGAGATGTAGTGAGGATGCGGATTGTTGGCGCGGTTGTGGTTTAAGGGGGTCCTGCGTAGAGAGGCACGGCGCTTCCAACCCAGCTTTTGAAGGATATTTCGCCAAAAGAGGTACCGGTATGCAAAGTAGACACGAGGATGGACTTTTCCCTGATGAAAGCTCTTGAGATTCGAGTGAAGGACTGGACGTCGGACGCGGCGGTAGCTGATGGAAAGCAGCTTGTTTTTTTCTGTTGCGTGGATGAGCTGGGGAAGGATTGATGTTGGAAAAAGCTTGATCGTCATTGGTCGGCAAGACTTTGGGCGATGGAAATAGTGGGGACGTGAGAGGACGTCAAGGCTTCCTGACCAAGAAGTCATTTTTTGACACTTTTATTGCTTTCGGGGGATGTGGAAATAACTTTCCTGAGCGGAAGATTTCGGACCTTCAATTTGGATTCAAACACATGAGATGATGGTAACGAAGAATTCTTGGCGGCGCTGTGTGAACTCTTGCCAAGCTAGTATTCTCCACCTTCAATCGCCGCCCTGATCCCTCGGCGCCCGTGTGGAACGCCGTCTTCTAGGTTCATGTCTTGCCCTGATATCTTGTGTACAAATTGCCGTATCTTTCTTTGCATATGGTATCACGAGGCTTAACGAACGGAGTGGGGGTGACAGCCGCCGGATCTGCTGAGCTCAAGGCAGGCGAGCGGCTCCAGCGTCAGCGAGCGTCGCTTTTTCAAAAGAGTAGGTTGATTTCCACCGGGAAACTCTGAGAGACATACTTTGTCTCTCTGAAAGAGGGCGTGTAAGCAATTACCGGGAAAAGGTCAATGACCATGGTAAGCCCCGTTGCGACGGCGAGAATGAGAAGCCTAATGAACATAGGATCGTTTGTTTGGAGCTTCCGATAGATATGTAGTTGGATTTTTTGTTGGATATGGTGTTTCCTACGCTTCCAACTTGGGGAGATGGGCTTTTAGACCTTTGGGCGTGACGAGGATGCGAGCTTGAGAGCCTCAGGAGGTGGGAGGGAGGGCTCTCCTAAGCTAATGAGCTGGCGGGCTCGAAGACCGTCTTTGAGACGCCCGAATATAATCGGGGATTTCGGGAGCTGGAGATGATTCGTGATGAGAAGAAGAGTGCGAGGAACATATAATGCCTCCGCACAGTAAGTGCGCGCGTCATCTGCCATTTGGGCAATGGGCAAGCTGCAGCGCGACCTTTTGAAGAATAGGGAGACGATGTATGCAGGTTCTTTCCTCTACACCTCCTGACTTGTAAAGGCGATAGGTTCGTATGCCTGCTTATATCAACGACTGGTGTTTAAATTCAGCTCTTAGCATCACCGTCGTTAGGTAGCAACGCGATATACAACCAAGGCACGTCTGAATGACCAGAATGGTGGTAAGAAAGAGCTCAACAACGGTGCGATTACATCTCACGGCGGTTACTATGGCACACATGCTGGGGTCGTATGCGAACTCATACTTGTATGCTGTCGAAAGTAGGCTGCAACACGGCCATGATTGAGTGTTGACCTGTAAGAATACCACCACTCCGGTCATCAGTTTGTCCTGACCAACCGACCTACGAAGACGCCTGCTGTTGCTGGTGCCAGGAATGGTATTGAAAGGGCCTATATTGGCTTTTATCTATCTAGTAGTCATCCGAAAAAATAGCACAAGACAAAAATTGTTGGTGGAATATACCAAGAGCACCTGGTGGCGTAAGTGTCTATACGGCCTGAACACTGCTCAAATGGCTTCCTTTGCTTGGCAATGAGCGAGATATGGGCCAGCTTGATGAGTGTCTGGGGATCACCTGGCGCTTTGGTCCCTAGAGGGCAACTTTTCACAATATGTAGTCAATAAATACATATTCAATGGCCTTGTTGATCCAGAAGGCGAGCTTCTGACGGAGATGACTGCTGTGGGGCGATTGGCGGGCACTAATGGAGATACAAGTCAAATGTTCACCACTGAAAGTCTCGGATCGAGTTTGAGCAGGGTGTCCATGTCGATCTCTTAAGAATGACTGAGCAGAGGGCTTGGTAGTCGCAGGCAATAAACTTAGAGATTCAGTGAAAAGTCATATCGGCTCATCGCTGATTCCCTGGGTTTACGTCATGATTCACCTGACCGCTTCTTCATACTCTGGGATCTGGTTCTGGGCGAACATTCCAAACTTCGGGTTCGTTATTCGAAAACTGCCGCGTAGCAAGCTGGGGGAGTTACGTGGTTAAGACTGGATGCAACGGGTAGATGGCCTCTATCACCTATTTACACGTCGAGAATCGATGTGAAAGGAGACACAATTAGAGTCCATGATCGGAGAAAGAATATGAAGAATTAACCCTATCAGATAGAAGGTTCAGGTGAAACTGGGATTTAGCAAAATCGTGGGACATTGAAGAAGGAAGGAGGACAGAAGGTTGTACCCAAGCCACACATGAGCTTGTCAAGCCACAAGTCTGTGATTGTGCTTGACAGCCGCACAGACCCACCCGGTAGCTCGTTCACCCGCAGCCGCAGCGATCCGGCGTGTGATTGGTTGGAGGCTTTACCAAATTTCTAAACTGGCGAAATAGTACGAGCTCTCAGAAAGGGATTCGTGATCCTTACCAGCACCCACGTTGACACCAATTGCCAGAGATGGCGAACCCCAATGCGATGCGGCCGTCGATAGGTCGCGTATTGCGCCTCCAGGAGACTCTGCAATGGCTGCCCACGACACCGGCGACGGCCACCCAACCCCGAACCGCAGCGGCATGCTTCTCGACTTCGGCTGCGCACTCGGTGCGCAAGACCCGCGACAACAATCGCCTGCGAGGTGTCAGTACCATGAAGAGATCCGGTCCCCGTGAGCCGCTGTCCGTATCATGGGAGACGCTACCCAAGCCGTCAAACTACAAACGTGAGGTTCCTACGGACCCGAACCACGGGCTCTGGGACTTCTTCTACGGCAAGAACAAGCTCTTGAACACGCCCAAAGAGGACCAGTCTCATGGCCGTGCATGGACAGTGGAGGAGCTGAGAAAGAAGAACTGGGAAGACCTCCACTCGCTGTGGTACGTCTGCCTGAAGGAGAGAAACCGCATTGCGACGACGAGTCTCGAGCGTGAGAGACGCAAAGTCGGTTTCGGAGGATTCGAGGCCAACAGCAGGGACGAGACGGTTCGTATTTTGTCTGTCACATGACTTGTGGGAGATGGCTGCTGACCGGCGCTTATTTAGGTTGTCACGACAATGAAGGCGATCAAGCATGTCTTGACCGAACGTTTTTACCTCTGGGAGGATGCGCGCAGACTGGCCGAGAACGACCCCGAAATCAATCTCTCTGGTGAAGGAGAGGCATACACGCCGCTGGCAGGATACGAGAACATGGAAGAGGGCAACAAGTACCTCGCCGAGGAGGTCGAGGCCGCAGCTGTCGAGTCACCAGTTATCGAGGCTCAAGCCGTCGAGGCGCCCGTCGAGCCTCAGGCAGAGAAGAAGGAAGCCGCACCTGTTACGCCAGAGGCTGAGGAAGAGGCCGAGGTCAAGGTGAAGCCACCGCACCCGGCGAAGAAGGTCAAGCCCAGCAAACCGGTTGAGAGCAAACCTGCGCCGGCGATGCCCAAGCCGAAGATCTGAGCGGCTCTGTTTGTTATCTCCCCGTTCAGCGCGAGGGTCGCAGACGGGAGAGTCATGTATCATTGTATCCAGACATGTATAGAATCTTGTACGATACGAATATTTTGTGCCAGGCGTATTTTGGAAGTCATTCCCCAGACATTACTCTCACTTTTGACACCACTGGCAACGTGCAAATGTCGAAGAAGACTTGGAGCGTGCGTGATATAACAGCAACGTTTGCCATGGTCAACTTAAGAAAGGGTTGAATAAGATCTACAGAAAGGTCTTGCATAACAGAGAGAAACTGAATAATAGATGAGACTTGTATTCGCATAATGTTACAGAACTGGGACGGGGAAGGGCGGGAGCTGGGTCCTTGTAGCAGGGACAAGCCCACTCACACCGCCGAGGGCGCCAGGTACACGCAGAGCAGACAAAAGTCGAGGTACCTTTTGAGCTAAGGTACTTACAACTTTGCGGCCTCGGTCGGTCCATGTCCAGTCTGCTAGCGGTGAGCAAGTGGCCAGCATAGTTTGCAGTAAGAAGAGCGGGCGGAGAGCGGACCTTGCATGGGCCATTTGGAGGTACAACTGGAGCCAGGACGGGCCCCCCCAGCGAGCATTGGCACTGGTCACTGGCCACTGACCTTCGGGCTGGCCCCCAGTGACACTGGACGCTTGATGTGCTGCCGCATGCACTGCTGAACCCCTCCATGTCCCTCCAAAACCCAACTGTTCTAGCAATCTACGGCAAAGTAGGTGGCTCTTGCCCCCCCACTTGATCCTCCTTTGCTGCATGTTGCTCCCCCATGTCTCTTCTTCGCAACACCGCAACTACTTCTCCAGACATCCAACACCTCATACTTTTCTCTTCCCTTCTCCTTCCGCTGCGAAACCACCGACCGACTTTAATATACCAACAATCGTCACACACGCACATACCCCTCAGCCGCAACCATGGATGAGATTGCAAAGGAATACGATGTCATCGTGCTGGGCACTGGTAAGTGACGTTACGCCATCCTCCTTTATTTGCCCCGCATCGTCGCTCGTCGGCCTGTGGGGTCCCCGACTGCTCGACAGAGCTTCCTGGCTGACCGGTCGACCTCGCCGTCCTCTCTCTCTCTAGGCCTGACTGAGTGTGTCCTTTCTGGGTAAGCAAGCTACTGTCTCTATCGCTCACTCAAGTGTTCGCTCTGCTAATCATTCTTCTCCCCGCGCAGTGTCCTCAGTGTGAAGGGCAAGAAGGTCCTCCACATTGACCGCAACGACCACTATGGCGGGTAAGTCTTGCTCCTCCAAGGCCGCGATCTGGCCTTCCGCCCATGACAAACCTAGCTAAACTTTACCAGTGAGGCAGCTTCGGTTAACCTCGAGACGGTATGACACCCACGACTCTCCCTACCCTCCCGCCCGAATGGGGTTCTAACCCGACAAACTTGCAGCTCTACAAGAAGTACGGCAACTACGCAAAGGGCGAGGAGCCCTGGACGAAGTATGGACGTCTGAATGACTGGAACATCGACCTTGTCCCCAAGTTCCTCATGTCCGCTGGCGAGCTCACCAACATTCTCGTCTCGACCGACGTCACAAGATACCTCGAGTTCAAGCAGGTTGCAGGCAGCTACGTCCAGCAGGGCCAGAGCTCCAAGGCCACTGTTGCCAAGGTTCCCTCCGATGCCGGCGAGGCTCTGCGTTCGCCCCTGATGGGCATCTTTGAGAAGCGCCGCATGAAGAGCTTCATCGAGTGGATCGGCACTTTTGACCGCAAGGACCCCGGCACACACAAGGGTGAGTTTCGACATTTCGGAGCATCGAGGGATGGCGGAATCGTGGGACAGGACTGACAGTCATGCGCTAGGCCTCGACATCAACAATGTCACCATGAAGGAGGTCTACGACAAGTTCGGCCTCGAGACCGGTACTCGTGACTTTATCGGCCACGCCATGGCTCTCTTCACCACGGACGAGTACCTCACTAAGCCTGGTGCCGCCCCCGAGGCCATCGAGCGCATCCGCCTGTACGGAACCTCTGTGTCCCGCTATGGCAAGTCCCCTTACATCTACCCTCTCTACGGTCTCGGCGAGCTTCCCCAGGGCTTCGCCCGTCTGTCGGCCATCTACGGTGGTACCTACATGCTTAACACCAACGTCGACGAGGTTCAGTACGAGGGCGGCAAGGCTGTCGGTATCAAGGCCACTATGACTGGCGTTGAGGAGATGAAGTTCGAGACCAAGGCCAAGATGATCCTTGGTGACCCCAGCTACTTCCCCGGAAAGGTCAAGGTTGTCGGACAGGTTCTGCGCGCCATCTGCATTCTGAAGCACCCCTTGGCCGGCACCAACGATGCCGACTCTTCCCAGCTCATCATTCCCCAATCCCAGATTGGCCGCAAGAACGGTAAGTGCAGTGTAGCCGAAAAGTGAAACTTGAATGCACGACTGATTGGAGCTAGATATCTACATCGCCTGCGTGTCATCGGCACACAACGTTTGCCCCAAGGGTTACTGGATTGCCATTGTTTCGACCATTGCCGAGTCCAACGCCAACCACCACGTCGAGCTTCAGCCCGGTCTGGAGCGCCTCGGCAAGATCGAGGAGCAGTTCATGGTAAGAGAAAATCTCGAGTCCACGCAGTGCAAAGAGCAGGGTACTAATTGGTTTGAAGGGCGCCCCAATTCCCATCTACGAGCCCACGGACGACGGCACCGGCGACAACGTCTTCGTCTCCAAGAGCTACGACGCCAGCAGTCACTTCGAGAGCACGACCGACGATGTCAAGGATATCTACCGCCGCGCCACCGGCGAGGAGCTCAAGGTTGAGGGTCTGAGAGAGGGCCTGCAAGTTGCGGATGAGCAGTAAGCGCAAGGGGATGCTTCATTGAAACTTTTGTTTTCAAGCGGGCGAGGGGAGGAGGGAGCAAGTCTGAGAGGCATTGAGTCCTCGCACATCATAACAGACGGCAATCCGGGGTATATATATAACATATCTTGGACGTAAACATCTGAGGGTGGTGCTCTTCAAAGTTATTCAAGCCATTTTACCATATTTTTTCGGTTCCATCTGCCTGTACAACTGATGCCATATTTCGTGATGATTTAAGTACAGTACCCACAGACGGGCTCCCTTCAAGTCTTCTAGTGTTTTCTTAATAGGTTTCTCATTCAGGGTATTCAATGGTCCTTGATTTGATGGCCTTTGAAGAAAGCCATCAAACGTCGAGACACACGCAAAGCTGGTAATGCTACGACGCTTTTTCTTTCGACATACGTTTCTCAAAAAGAAAAAAGGCATCACAGACTTCCCCCCCCGTCTCCTATTCCCTCTCTTCTATCCCTCGTGGCCTCCCGATTCAGAATGTAGGGGCCTTTTTACCGACCTCGTCAGATGTGATGTGGATTTGTGTCGCAAGAGAACGAAGGAATGAAAGAAGACAAATAACAAGGCAGCAGCAAAACGAAACAAAGACCGCAAAACGCCTCCATGCCCCCCCGAAATAAATAAAGCATATTTACTTTTATTCTCTTTCCGTAAACATCCATTACCGTCTTTTTTACCCCTACCGCTGCTGGCGATGACGGGGCTGGTGGTGGTGGTGGTGGTTTTCTTAACGTCTCTGGTTCTTGCCGAGGCCACGCTTGCCGGCAACCTATAGTAGTGGGTTAGCGTTTGCTTTGGATTTCGATGCGATGTTCCGGGATGGTGGATGAGATGGTAGAAACTTACCAAATGCCTTTGCAGCGATACGGTGGTGTGACGATCACCCTCACCCTGTCTCGCCATGCGGTTCCGCTTCTTCTGGGAGAGCTTGGCGAGGCGGTCGGCCTTGTCGCGGGCCTCGTCGTCCTGGACGCCGTCCTCGCGCCTGTTGACGATGGGGGCGCGGCTCTGGCTGCGGGCGCGGCTGTGGGAGCGCAGGCGCTCGCGCGGGGTGGCGTCCGTGTCCATCATGTCGACGTCCTCGGTGCCGGCGCGGGAGAGGCCGGAGGAGCGGCCGCGGGGGCGGGACTGGGCGCGGGCGCGGTTGACAATGTCGGTGGTGTCGACACCGAGCTGGTCGAGGGCGTCGTCCATCTGGGAGAGGGGCACCTTTTGGGACTTGCGGGGGATGATGGCCTGGTTCTTGAGGCGCTTCTTCATCTTGGCCTCGTTGCGGATGAGGGCCTGCTTCTCGCGGATGATCTCGGCCTTAGAGAGGATGTCGGCCTCCTCCTCGTCGTCGAGCTCCTCGTCCGACTCGTAGTAGCCCTCCTTCTCGAGGCGCTCCTCCTCCTCCTCGAGGGCCTGGAGCTTGGCGTCGATATCCGGGTCGATGAAGTCGTAGACGTTCTTGCCGTCAAAGACCTCGGGGATCTTGTCGTGCTTCCACTCGTCGTTGGCGAGGAGCCAGTCCTGGCGCATGTCGACGCTGTAGACGCCGGCGCCGCCGTTCTCGGCCTCGACGTCCTTGGCGAGCCTCCGGCGCTCCGGGTCCTCCTTGTCGTACTTCTTCATGTTCTTGATGCCCTCGGGGATGAAGGTCTGGAGGGGCTGGCTGGTGCCGGGCTGGGCGACGTGGATACGCGCCATGACGTCGGCGAGGCGGCCGCCAATGTTGCCGCTGCTGTTGGTGCCGGCGTTGAGCTTCTGGGAGACGCGCTCGGCAATGAGGCGCTCGCAGACGGTGTTCTTGACGTTCTGGACACCCTCCTGGGTGTTGCAGGAGAGCTGGAGCATCTCAACCTCGCCGGACTTGAGGAGGCCCTGGAGCTGAGCCTGGGTGGCGGCGTCGAGGTCCTCGGGCTTGACCACGTCGATCTTGTTGACGACGATGAAGACGATCTTGTTCTGGAACAGGGGCTTGATGCTCTGGAAGAGGTTGATCTGGGCCTGGATGGAGTAACCGCACTGCTCGCTGAGATCCATGAAGTAGAGAATGGCGGATCGCAGATGGGCAATGGCGGTGACGGACTGCATCTCAATGGTGTTCCTGTGTGGGCTGTCAGCGTCTGAAATCCCTTTCCTGCGTTTTCGACATTGGGTGTTTGCTTACATCTCCTCGAGAGGGTGGTCGAGAATACCAGGGGTGTCAATGCACTGGAAACGAAGGTACTTGTAGTCAAAGTGACCGCAGAAGAGCGACTTCGTTGTGAAGGCGTACGGCTGGACATCGACGTCGGCTCTGGAGACGGACTTGAGGAAAGAAGACTTTCCGACGTTGGGGAAACCCGTGATGAGAAGGGTTCTGGTGTTGGGATCGATCGAGGGAAGACGGCCAAGATCTGTTATTCTCTCGCAGTTAGTAAAAAACCCTTGTGCGCGCTCTCAGTGTCAGATTGCCACTTACGCTGTCTAACCTGGTCGAGGTAAACCAGAGGGTCTTTGAGGCGCTTGATGAGCGTCGCCATGCGACCAAGCGCGGCGCGCTTCAGCTGCTTGCACTGGAAAAGCGACTGGCCATACTTCAAGAGTCGGACGTCTGCACAAATTGCACCAGGTTAGCCATTTTGCATTTCCCCTCCCAAAATCGAAAAAGTCGCCTTCCCCCCACACCACATTGAGAAGAAGGCCTCGTGGAAAGAGCTGGATTCTACGCACAATCTCTGGAAATGGTCTCGATAAGATGCTTCGCGGTCGAGAGCTGACCGAGGGCGATCTTGAAGTGGTCGGCGTCGTAGAGGGTGTTGATCAGGTCCTTGTGGAAGGGGTGGATGTCGTTGAGGCGAGGGAACGACTCGATGATCAGGCCGAGCTTCTCGCTGATGGTCTCCTGGGTGAACTTGACCTTGCGGGTGTAGAAGCCTCTGATTCTCGAAATCTTGAAACCCGAGCGGATCTGGGTCGGCAGCCGGCGCTGCGTCCTCGAGAGGACAATGTCGAGGAACTCTTGCGAGTTGGGGACCGGGGGGAGATCCTTCCACCTGCCGCACAAAGCGTGGTTAGCACAGATTGATTCTTTTGTAACTTGGCTTCTCTTTGAAAATTGATCGCATGTAGAAAGAGTCCAACGTACTGGGTCTTCATTTTGGCGGCTGGGGTCTGCGTTGGAAAAACTTGAAGCAGTCCTCAGATGTTGCGATCGGTCAAGGTGCACCGTCGGTGAACTGCAACGAAGTATTTGGGATGGGGGGCGGTGTTCTGCACTCGAATTTTTTTCTCTCGTTCGCTTATCTTATCGGCACGGACAGGTGGGGCGGGGACCCCATGCCATTAGTGGCCGCTCAGAGGTGTTGGTCGTGCACTCAACGCTGATGGACACAATCAAGTAAGTACCTTAGGTAGGTGGGTAAGTACCTCGCCCACATGGCTTGAATATTCAGGTGGTCTTAACTACATTCATGAGGCTATGATGAATGATTTCAAGCAGTTCCTAAAATTTTTGGCCTATGCACGTTCCAATTGCCCCAGTAGATCAAACCATCGGTGAGTTTGTCATATTGGCTCAAGTCATGCAGGGTCTGGCGGTGCGGATTCCTCCTCTTATCACAACTTTATCGCAATAAGTTTTTTTGCTTGGTGGGGCACTCTCCGCGGGGCAGACGTGAATAGAGGGGTATCAGTGTATCCGTTTCGCGGAGCTTCAGTTTTGAGATCTTTCATCCTCCAGCCTCCGACAAGCATAACCTTCTGGAAGACCAACCCAAAAATTCCCATCTCTTCTTCTTTATCCTTTCTCCCCCAAAAAAGCCCATTGTTCAACGATAGTAGCCAAAATGTCCTCCCAACTCGCCCCCTACAAGCAGGACTTCCTCAAGGCCGCCATCGCCGGCGGCGTCCTCAAGTTCGGCTCCTTTGAGCTCAAGTCGAAGCGCATCTCCCCCTACTTCTTCAACGCCGGCGACTTTTACCGCGCCGACCTCCTCCGCGCCATCTCCGTCGCCTACGCCCACACCGTCATCGAGGCCCGCAAGTCCTCCGGCCTGACCTTTGACATCGTCTTCGGCCCGGCCTACAAGGGCATCCCGCTCGCGACCTCGACGACGGACAAGCTCGCCGAGCTGGACCCCGAAACCTACGGCACCACGTGCTACTCGTTCGACCGCAAGGAGGCCAAGGACCACGGCGAGGGCGGTAACATTGTCGGCGCGCCGCTCAAGGGGAAGAAGGTGCTCATCGTCGACGACGTCATCACCGCGGGAACCGCCAAGCGCGAGGCCATTGCCAAGATCCGCAAGGAGGGCGGCGAGGTCGTCGGCATCGTCGTCGCGCTCGACCGCATGGAGAAGCTCCCCGCTGCTGATGGCGACGACAGCAAGCCTGGCCCCAGCGCCATGGGCGAGATCAAGAAGGAGTACGGCATCCCCATCTTTGCCATCCTGACGCTCGACGACATCATCGAGGGCGCCAAGAGCTTTGCGTCCGCCGAGGATATCAAGCGCACTGAGGAGTACCGTGCCAAGTACAAGGCTACCGACTAAATCTTGAGGGCCAGCTCTAAAGCCAGAGAACGGGGACGGTCTAGATTTGTAGGCAGACGTGATATTCTGGAAATCACGTTCAACGGTCGGCGCTCGTATGCATGGGTTGGATGATTGGATGGGACGGAAGGAAGCGAACACTATAGGACCCTTCGGGTCAAGGCGCATAGGATGATAAAAGTGATTTGGGAAGTGACTTTGCAGTACCTGCAAAACCTCACGCATAGAATACAGGCTGAACAGGGGACACTGTGAAAGATCGTATCTTAATTTTGCCTTGCTCGCCCTCATCCAGGTGGCAGGGCAGTCTATGTCATGTCCTCATCGTTAAGGTAGTCTCCGGCTCTGTCGTCTCATGATGCCACCACCCTTGTTTTGAGATTGTATAATCTCATGGTAACTCGACAACGACGACCTGATAACAAAAGAAAAAAGAAAAGAAAAACAAGGCCATCATGCAAAAGTGAGGTTGCCAACTCAAGACAACCCACCCAGTATGCCGCTCCCATAACCTCCCGGTTTGTTTGTCTCGAAACAAACAGGAGCGTTCTTGTCCCGTCTAGAGCTCGGATAGTCGTAGCTCGCAGGAAAGGACTGCGAAAATAAAGACAGGGAGAAAGTCCTACAATGGTTTCAGTGACCGCGGCGGCACTACTCGGCGGACGCCTTAAGGGCATCGGGACCCTTTTTGGGCGGGCCGGCAAGTTCAATGACCTGATGTCATGTTAGTCGTTTCGCCAAAAGGAGTGGTAGGCATCAGTATGCGTGTACCATGTCATTCCAGCCGCCACCAGCGAAAGACGCCTTGCTGGGACCGACGCGCTTGAAGCCGAAGCGCTGGTAGTAGCTAACCAACCACTGTCGATTCGTCAGCATCTTGCAAGATTCCAAGTGTCAGGGTAGCTCAGTGAGCTAGAGGAAGCTTACGTCCTTGCAGATCAGCGCAATGCGATCCGCAACGCCAGAGTTGTTGATCTGCTGCAGGTACGACTTCATGAGGAGCTTGCCGAGACCCAGGCCCTGGAGCTTGGGGTCGATGGCAAAGGAGTGCAGGCACAGCGTGCGACCCATGATCTTGTGGCCGACATCCGTGCTCTTGGCCGACTTTTGATCGCGCCAGTTGTCCGGGTAAGCCATGTCGTCGTCGCTGACGACGGGGCCGTCGCCGAGGGTCGCGACGGCGTGGCCGAGGAGGACCAGCTTGGCTCCGTTGGCGCGACCTGTCTCGACGGGGCTAGCGACGGTCATGGTCGAGAGAGGGAAAGCCTCGGCCTCGGCCGGGACGACGCTGCAGAAGAGACCTGTGGAGATATCTGAGCAGGTCGCGAGGCGGTACATGAACTGTGGTGAGGGGTGTAAGCTTTGCGTGAACCTTTGATTCCGTGTGATCTGCCTATGATATGCCACGCGACCTGTCCGTCCGCCAACGATAGGAGCCGGTAGAACTCTCATTCCTGTGGATGAGGCGAGCTCTTCATGAACTAGGCTCGGCGGAACACCCAGACTCGATGGCCTAAGGTAAACGGACTGGGGAAAGAGACGAAGGGGAACTGCAAAGAAAGACAGGGACAAATCGGCTCACCTTGACGCGGGTAGCGCGATGACTCGGATCAGTGAACGCAGCGTCCTCGAGGGCGACGCAAGACTCGAGATTCGACTCGGTCAGCGGCAACACCAAAGGGCTCCATTTGAAAGGAACGATATGCTGGATCGTCCGGCGCTGCGTCTGTTGCTTCTTCTTCAGCTCGGACTGGGACATCTGTGTCTCGATGTACTCGTCATCGGCATCGTCAGAACTGTCGATGGCACAGTCGGACGCCTCCTCAGGCTTGGCGACCGGGGGGTCTTTCTCGTCAGGCATGATGACGAACGATCGAGAGAGATGTGTATAACGCGTGCGTCGAAGAATGCGGTATTGGAAGAGAGATTTGAGGAGGGGGAGGAGGAGGATGCGGATACGCCAGAAAGACGTATGAGAATTCGTAGAGAGCTGGGCAGAGTTGGGGGGAGGAAGAAGTTGGGAGTGGTAAGAGTTGTTGGTTACACAGAGAGAAGAAGCGAGGTGATGGAATCAACCAGAGGGCGGCTTGTTGGGTCAAATTACCCCCGTCAGCTCGTAGACAGAGAGACTAAAGGTTTCAAACAAGGCAAGGAGACACTCCAGGATGAAAACCAGAAGAGGCGGGTGCTGTTGGTACCCGGGAGTGATGGTTGAAGGGGTCGGTTGGGCGAGTGCACAGGTAGCTCCGGAGGGGCATCGGGGTGCTGCCGGCCGTTGGACTCGGCGCTGTCGTTGCAGAGCGGGGCCTGACGGGGCTGTGAGTCAAGTAATGCCCGGCCGGTGTGTGCCGATTGGCAAGGCCGAGTGATGACCTTAGCTCGGTGCAGTGAGTGTCGGAACGGAGGAGGGAAGACGTCTCAGAAAGGCTAAGGTCAGATCGGGTGGTCCACGGCAGAGAGGGGACAAAGCTTTGGGACAAGTCAAGTGAACCTGAGTCGTGAAGGCGATAACGAGCTTGCAAAAGAGGAGTAACCTGGCTGCAGACCAAGCAGAAAGGTATGGAGTTGGTAGAAAATGGGATTGGTATTGCAGCAGCCAAAGAGGGAACTGGATGGAATTGGAGTTCAGTGACTTGCCATGGACCATGGCAAAGCAACACCCTCCATCATTGGACACTCCGTGTGAGGTGTGGTTGTGGTTATGAGGTGTTTGTCGCGTGACTGACCTACCCGCAGTGGCACAGTTGTGGCCTGTTCAGCCCATGGGTATTTCTAGGCGACGCTGGAATTGTTGCCCGGCTCCATCTTATTTCCCACTCTTCCCAGAAAACTTCCCGATGTTGTGGCATTGAGTGAAAGAGCCATGACGCTGTTAATGTGGCATCCCAGCTTCTGTATGTAGATGGAAAATTGCGGAAAAGGTCTTCTTTGCAGGGCATGGCGGGTAACAATGGGTACTGTTGCTTTCTTTCGATCCGGGCTATCGCCCAAGGACAGGGTAGATTCCAGTGAAAGAGATGCTTGAATGGCTTGCACATAGGGCAAGGTTGGTTGGGATCAAGGGAAGAGAAGAGTGAGAGGGAAAAAGTGACCTGACTTGTACACATTTCCCCACAGTAAGCCAACTTCGACATCACTATATGCTCCAATACTGCTCCGCTACTAAGATCAGTCTTGCCCATGCCTGTCAAGGTACAAGCACAGAGTTCTTGAGTCTCTAAGCACAGAGTTCTATCATGAGTTTCCTGGGACTTCGGCGTGTGATAAATGGTCTTTGACAGATTGAGAAACGCGCTGTTTGCTTCCAGACCGCTAATTGCTGGTCCATCCCGTCAGATTGAGGCTGCTTTTGGCCAATGCAGCCGACAGAAACCGAACGAGATCTAGGCACTGTCAGCGACTGCAACGACAAAGTTTGAAAAGAGGAGAGCGGTGCAATGTAGATTCAGACTTTTGGATTCGCGTGGGTGGGCGAGCGGCTTACCTTAGTTGGGTCTTGGCCGCCATGCTTGTTGCTCCTTTCCCCTGACTCCGCCTGCTGCGGTGTGCTTCACACTTGTATGGCACATTACCAGCCAGCCCAGCCCAGCCCGCTGTCGAACCGTAGAGAATGTACTATTACTTCGTACTCGAAAGCGATGGATATTGCTTTGAAGACTGAAAGATCCGCAGCAACACCATACTGTGTAGGCAAGAAGACCCTGAGCCTGTCGATCCGTATGGATCTTGGCTTTCGTCTGGATCTTAGCCGATATCACAGCTGCAGCCCCGAGGCCGAAGCAAGCAGACGAAAAACTCTTCGCTGTGGCATGTTGACAGCTGCAGGTATTCACCGAAATGGACATAACTGCAGTATCGACTTCGAGAATCTTTCCGGGTCGGCGATCCAGAGTTGCATTGCCCCGCCGCAATGCAGCATATGCAGCAGGCTCAATGAGGTCTAGGAAGGGCCCTGAGGCACTTTTTGGGCTTTCCCACCATGTCAGATGGGCGAAGTCCGAAGACATTCTGAGTTGTAGGTTATGAGTCAACCCGCTTGGGTTATGGTCATGGACCTTCCTAATGAATCAGTGTGGGTTGCAGAGGCTGAGAGCGCATAATGCATCAAGTACGAAGACGCGGAGCATTGCAACTGAACAGCGTCGAGAACCCGGAATGCGGCCACCACCGGAAGCCGGATCCGACCAACTTCAAGGCCGGCATCCGAGCTGACTACAGTTCCGACCCTCCAGCGGAGCGAGGTTGGCACGCCGATCTCTGCTCGCCTTCGAGACGTCGCATGCGAGATATCGGTGGGAGCAACGGCAGCTGGGAATCATGATCCCGTGCCGTCAGATCATGAACATTCCGTTCAGGACAAAATCCCCGGCCCTTGCAGCCGCCATATAAACGAGATATGCATTGTCATTGACTCGAAGCAGACCTGCGAGCTTGCTCGCCGAGTGGAGCGTGAGCAGCGAGGTCGCAGGCAGGTAGATAGATGCTGGAAACTCTTCAGCATGGTGTGATGAGGAAGAAATTCGACAGGGTGTCTCCGTTTCACGCCACGTCCATCGTCGGCCATCCGGGCAAGTCGTTATAGACGCTCTTCGTCATGATTAAAGGGGAAAGACGGACGTAAATTCCAAGCGAGGAAGCAGGGTGTTTCTCTGCCTCGAGCAGCAGCAAGTTTGAGGTGCCCGTAGGCTTGTCATCATCGCACAGAAACCCACGGGCTGAGGTGGCAGGAGATGTCGCTGCTAGACATCGATTGGCGGTACATCCTGAGGATCTGTGACATGTCAGTTTGGCACAGGAAAAGAAAGAGATGCAAGTGCAGAAAAAGTAGAAACAAGAGGGGATTCTCAGCTCTTGTACCTGCTCCAGAGGGAAGTACACGAGTAGATTGCAAGGGTTGTTGAGGTTGCTTGCTTGGCTCGCGCAGCTGCCGCAGGTATAGGTTAAGTACTCAATTGCGCCATCTTCCACCTGGTTTGCTGTCAAAGATACTTTGAAGTCACTTGGTGGCTTAGTCAACGATTAGCTCGTGGGGCTGATATGTCGTAGGGGAACCTGCCCGTGCTGCTGTGACCTCAGCAACCTTGGAACTGGGAAGCTCAAGTCATCAATGGCCTCCTTGCCGCAGGCTTAGCAAGTAGATGCCTTGCGAGGCAGAGATTGTCGCGCGAAAATACCTAGATCGAAGAAAACAAAACAAAGCATGCGTCTGTCTGGCTGACAGGAAACACATGGTCGGAGTTTCTGTAAGTTAAGCTAAGGTAAGCGGAGAAGTTCCCGAAGCCTTCCATGAGCTTCTGTTCGCCATCTCGTTCCGTGGCCAGTGCTTTCCCTCCCGTCTCTTTGGAATACCTACCTTAGCTGCTGCTTAGGTACCAGTGCGGATAGCTAAGGTATTCGTGCCTTGGGAGTACACAAGTTTGCTTTTCACAGTGTTTGTATCTCCGGTCGCCACCATTCTACCTTGCCTTACCTTACCTTGGTATACTTCGTACGCAGTAGCTAAGTCCGCAGTGCGGAAATAATCCCCGTCCTGGTTCCCCGTCAACCCCATCTTGAGCCACTGCAAACGGGGAAACGTACTGTGTAAGGTAGGGGTCTCGTCACTGCACCCACCTTCCTTACGAAACACTCAAAAAGGTACCCCAAGTACCCGAGCCGAGCTCTACCTTACCTTTACCTTCCGCTACCTCCCCCGGCTCCCTTCCACCTTACCTTGAGATCCTTTTCTTTGAGACCAAGTGTCTCTCAACTCATCAGATACCACCTGTCCAATCGTTCACCACCGCTACAAGGCTGCGGAATCACGTCGAAACTTTTCCCGGAGCTCTGCTTCATCCAATCGTCCATCCAGCAGCTCTTTACTTTCCGGATGAGACGTCACTTTTGTGTTGCCTGAATTTCGGCCCCTCCAACACCCCTCCTCCGCAGCTCCGTGCTAAGGGTAACTTCAACTTCGCTTTCGCAACAGTGAAACCCGACGATTTTCCTGGACCAGATCCGGCCTCTTTGCTGCTCGCTGCCAGTCCATTTCTTTCATCAACCGATCAAACCCGCGGCAAACAGTTCCTGCCTGTACGCAAGGAACAAAAGCCCGTCATGTAAGCTTTGCCCCTCTGTAGGGACTTGACACGGTCTCCGCTGACTCTTCTTCCTCCTAACAGGCGCATTACACTGAGCATAACGAACCCCGAGGTCGAGGACCAGGATCTCCTCACCCTCGAGATCTTTCCCGATATGCCCATGTCCACACTCCGCGAAGCCATCCAAGCCGAGACCAATATCGCACCCACCTCCCAACACCTCTACCACAACGGTCGCTTGATCCAAGATGACACTCAGACGATGGAACAGTTGCAGATTGCCGACGGCGAGATGTTGGCGCTACACGTGAGGGACATGCAAGGAAGCACTGGCTTGCCGGACCAGGGCAGAAGGGCACCGCAGCAGCGCCGGCGACCAGGAGGACAAGACCCAGAGCTCATTCGCCTCCAGATCCTAGGCGATCCAAACTTACGTGCCGAAGCCACCCGCCAGCAGCCCCAGCTCGCCGCCGTTCTCGATGATCCCCAGAGATTTGCCCAACTTTTCAACCAGAGCTACGACCGTGAGCAGCGGGAACGCGAAGAGCGGCAGAGGCAGATTGCCCGTCTGAACGAGGACCCCTTTGACATCGAGGCTCAGCAGAAGATTGAAGAGATGATTCGTCAAGAGAGAGTTATGGAAAACCTCCAAAACGCCATGGAGCACAATCCTGAAGGTATGGCAGACAACCAAGGCATAATAAGTGCAGACCGAGAGGCTAACTTCACACAGTATTTGGACGAGTGCACATGCTGTATGTTGATGTCGAGGTGAACGGCCACAGAGTAAAGGCGTTGGTCGATTCTGGAGCACAGGCAACCATAATGTCCCCTTCATGTGCCGAAGCCTGCGGTATCATGAGACTCGTTGACAAGCGCTTTGCGGGTGTGGCTCGCGGTGTCGGCACAGCCAACATCATCGGACGCGTACACTCTGCCCAGATCAAGGTCGGCACCATGTTCCTGCCTTGCAGTTTCACCGTCATGGAGGGCAAGCAGGTCGAGCTTCTTCTTGGCCTCGACATGCTCAAGCGCTACCAAGCCAGCATTGATTTGGCCAAGGATAAGCTGATCATTCAGGGCGAGGAGGTGTCATTCTTGGGCGAAGCGGAGATTCCCAAGGAGAGCGAGGAGGCTCTGGAGGAAGAACCCAGACTGCCTGGCCCGGCTGGAACCACCATCGGCCAGCGCTCCGGTGTTGTCAGTGGTCCCGAAGGCGCTGCTGCCGCCGCGCCGACACAGCAAACCCTTCCACAAGGTCGACCAGCACCTCAGCAGCAGCAGCAGCAGCAGCCAGCGGCGCCAACTTTCCCGGAAGAGCACATCAACCAGCTCATGGCTCTGGGTTTCCCTCGTGAAGCCGCTATCAATGCTTTGCAAGCTACAGGTGGCAATGTCGAGTTCGCAGCCGGTCTCTTATTCGGGGCATAGACTGGATTAGGGGCGTATCGGAAATTCTTTGGTTGAAATGGGCCAGCATGGTCGGATCGCAAAGGTATGGGACAATCTCGGGATGGAGAGGTGGGATGAATTGGAGTCGTCGTATCATGCATGCGCAGCTCGACATGATATGCGTTTAAAGCGTTTTGATAGACATACTCGGCACTTTTGAATTTCAAGTAATGCCAACTAAACCTTTGAGACTTGCCCATGCTTTGTGTAAACGCCGACGTTCAACGGCATCCGCTTTGATCCCCTACACGGTGATCGCAGTATACCCAGCTTCATTCCAACGAGTCCGATTGCAAATATAGGCATTTTTGTTTTGACAAATGTGATATTACCCCCCAAACCCAAACAAAGACAACTTTTATATGTACCAGAACCCTCACAAGAAAAATATACAATCGGTGGGTTCTACCGGATCTTGTATACACACGGCTTCAAGATGCCCGTCTCATCAACCTTGTCCTCCTCCGTCTCCCACACGAACCGCTTTTGCTTCTTCTCCTTATCCACGTAGCCGGCCGCCTTGGCCGCGACGAGACCCTTGCCCTTGGTGGGCACGGCGCCCTTGATAAAGTGCATCTTGACGAACATCTTGTTGGACAGGTCCACCGCGCCCTTGTTGCCCTCGCCCTGGCCCGCCAAGACGAATCCGCGCTTCCGCAGCGCCTCAACAAAGGCGGAGACGTCCGTCTCGCCGCGCTTGTCCTCGTGGCCGTCGACCTCGACGGCGAGAGCCGTGCGGTCCTCCTCCGTCTCCTCAGGTTCTTTCGTCTTCTTACCTGCGGCGGCGGCGGCTGCCTTTTTGCGGTTGCCGACGCTGTGCGAGACGACGGCGTTCTTGCGGTGCACGGGGCCGAAGCGGGACTTGATCTCGGCGATCCAGAGCTCGCCCTTCCAGTGGAGGATGCGGTAGGCCTCTTCGATGAAGTCGAGCCAGTTGGTGCCCATGAGGGCGAGGCAGAAGATGGCGACGTCGACCGAGTCGTTTTCGAGGGGCAGGTTGGCGATGTCGGCCTTTGTGACGTGTTTCGCGGGGGAGTGGAGGTCGTAGCTCATGATCTTGAGCTTGAGCTTCTTGGACTCGGGCTCGAGGGTCGAGGCGAGGCGGGCGTCGCCGCAGCCCAGGTCGGCGACGTAGCACGTCCCGTCGGTACGGGGCAGAGGATGAGGGCCGTCGGGCTTGGACGGCGCGCCGCCGGGGCGTCCGCCGCCGCGAGCGTTGGGGAAGCGGGCTCTGGCGCGGAGCTTGATGTCGCGGATGTAGCCGTCGACGGGGTTCGAGGGCCAGACCTCGACCTGGCGGCGGAAGCCCTCGTGGTACTCGGAGAACATCTCGGGGGAGTCCTCGAAGAGCTGGTAGGCCTGGGCCGAGGGGCGGGTGTAGAGCGTCTCGTTGAGGTGGCGGAAGCGGGCCGAGATGAGCTTCTGGCGCATGGAGCGCTGGAGGGGCGTGAGCTTGGCGGCGGCGGGCGGGACGGGGGGTACGGAGGCGGCGATGGCGGCGGCGGCGTCCTTGTTCTTCTTCTTCTCGAGCTTGTCTTGCTTGTCTGTCGAGGCTGCCTGTTGTGACGTCTTTGAAGGTGTAGTCTCTGCTGCTGGTGTGGCTGGCTCATCTTCGTTGTTGGACTTTTCCTTGCGCTGCTTCTTCTCCTTCTTGTCAGATTTGGGCGTCTCCTGCGTCTTTTCTATTCCCTCGCTCTTCTTTTCTTTCTTCTCCTTCTTCTGCTTCTTGCTCGGTTTGGGCGTCTCGGCCTCAGCCTCATCCGCATCGTCACCATCGTGATCAGCCTCGGCGGTGGCAGGAGGAGCATCCTCCCTCTTTTCTCCAAACACGCGGGGGTTCACCAGGACGGAGTTAGCGCCCGAAGTAGGCGCCTTCTTCTCCTTCTTCTCTTGCTTGTTGGCTCTCTTGCGCTTCTTGCTCTCGTTCTTGGCGGGATTGCTGGCCTTCTTCACCTGGGTCTCGGTTTTGAGACCCTCGGCCGCGACGGACCATCCTGGGACAGCGAACATGTTTCAATTGCCAACAGTAATGTTCTAGATGTCCGGCTTATGTGGGCTTCTTTTCGTGCCTACGGATTCAACAGGATGTGGTTGGTAAATAAGTTTGTTGCTAGACGCTCATGCGCATCTCACGAAATCACTCCCGCGGCTTATCGACGTTGGAATTTTTTTTTCCTTCCTTCCTTTCCCCAGAGGTCGCTTATCGCACCCCTGCGTTTTGATCGACGCCAGGATGAGCCGAGTTAGACTGGTGGACCGTGCATTCCGCCTGTTTCCTCACCTTCCCGTTCTCACAGTTGCGTCCCGTCTAAAAACTTCCTTTCCCCTCTCCATATACTCACGAGCTACCAATTTCATCCCAACTTCGATCAATATTTATTCGAACCATCTCTCATTCGCATAATTGACTAATCTTTAACAATGTTTCGGTTGTCCTATCCCATCCCCTGTCTAGTCCTATTATCATTCGACATCCTTTCCCTAGTTACCAAGATGGTGGTCAAGCTTCAACGGTCGTCGCCACAGCGGAACAATTATTAGGTAGAGTCGATCCAACGGCGCTGGCTGATGTTCCTAGACCTTCTTCCTGTCAATCTCAAAGACCCGCAAACGCGGCATTTTGCGCAACCCGGCATGCCGGAGTATTGTTCATGTCGACCCGAAGGAACTACAGCCAGTCGATTACGGAACACGCTATTGGCGAGCTAGGCCGTTGATGATCTCGACCTAAGCCCAACACACCGGAAACCCCTGGAGACGTTTATACACTTCGTAGTTGGCCTTGTGGGCGATGGCCTGATTTGCGGACTTGAGAGTTCAGGCTGGTCTTCAGGACTATGAATCCGCATTTACATTTCATGCTAACACGAGCCGGGGGTCCTCGTCTGACTTGGAGTTCTGGGCAGCGCTGCCGGGCCTGTACTGACTAGTAATCAAGCTCGAAAGCTGCATTGATTGGAACAATAGAGAAAAAAAGCAAGTGCATCGGACCGGCGATTTAGCTCCTGCATGTAGCCTTCATCGACGCCGACAAGAAACGGTTTACGAATCGTCATCAAGTGGTGCTGCAGGACAATCCAATCACTTCAGACAGCTTTGACTCCTTCCCAAATCCGGCCGCATGCAACTCAGAAGACGAAAACAACGAGCCCGGAGGTATGAGCCTATGAGGCTACATCACCTCTCTGAGTCGTTGGCTGTCTATTGTCGCCGGTTTCCGACACCTCCGACTTGCGGACGGAGTATGATCCAAGAAATCAGTGATTAGTCGCATGCTCTACAAGTTCATCTCAGGATATACATTATAGTTCTCGATTCCCACGTCAGACGTCAGCAACCCTCATCACCACAGGGCTTTTCGTATTATCATTCTAGGACGTTTTCGCGAGGTACTCCTCGACACAGCTGGACCCTGCTGGCTTCCAAATGACTAGATGCGTACGTGTAGGAGTACCACCTGCCAAAATATCTATGGGATCCCCGCCGTCCAACTCTTTTGCCCAAAGGAGGAAGGCCCCAACACTTGTGGCCAGACTGGTTTACGGTCAATTAACCAGTTTCTCGGCATGGGTCGGTTCAACACAGAAGCCCCGATCTTTGGCCCGAAAACATGGGTACGGCGTATTGCCCGGCTCAACGGAAGGTTGTTGATGGACGCTTTGCTCCATTCGGCGTAAAAGAGAGACGACGAGGTGGGGAGGAAACGGCGTGGCAGGTCAAGGCACCTTACCTGTTCGAGTGCAGAGACCCGTCTTTCATAGTACTCTCTTTCCAAGAACCCAACTGGAGATTGCTGAAGGACTCTACTCCCAGCATTGAGCTCCGAGAGAAACCTTCGAATGATACCGCCGGCTTCCTAGATAGTTGCCTGCGACGCAAGTCCCGCTTTAGCGAGGCGCATATCCGAAAGACTATCTTGACCATTGACACGAGGGGCGTTCAGCGAAGTAACGACTTCAAGGTCCCACACAACTCACGAATTAAATGTTCGAAAGTGATCCAGGAACGTACCTTAGGAGGGCCGAAATCTGTGTTCTTTACGGCAATGCAGACATTGAGCCGGACTCTGCGGCTGCGAGAAGGCAAGGTGCATATCTGACCTGCAGCAACCGTTGTTGCGGGCTTCGACCGAGACCAGATAGAGTAAACAAACATCTGGGGAAACCTGCCAAGGTGCGGTGCGTTCCTGCGCGTATCGAGGAGCACCGGGAGTGTACAAGGCGATCGACGATGTAGGGAGCTGGATGTCACCGGTTCGTTCAAGAGAGCACAGGCAGAGGTGGCTCGCGGTGATCAGCACGCCTCCTTTGGTTCAACATTGCGCGACGTTTGTGTTGCACCGTATGCCAGTCAACGATGCTGCGACCAGTGATCGGTCACACCATCCAGCAGGTCGGAAACGCGACGATTGGCCCCCCGGCTTGGATCTTGGATGTATTGGAAAGCGTCCTCAGACGGGGGGAATGTTGCCGGGATCCTTCAGCAACACATTGTTTCCGGCGTCTTGTTCTCCCGCCCAGTGCGTCCCGGCGAAATGCTCGCACCTAGCAGGTATGGACCCTGATATTGCTTGGATGATGAGTACATAGTCGGGCAGGGAACGTGACATTCGCCCGAGTACTAGGTCCGTCCTTCTGCCACGCGTGCCGTTGTTCACAACGCTTGCGCACGACGATATGGATTATCAGATCATGCCCCTCCATTGGCAAGAAGAAAACGAGACGGCTTCTATCCAAACCCCGGCCTTGCAGAAAGTTCATAGGGGAAAAAAAACCTTAGTTTCCCGCTCGGCACATGGTAATTCGGCTCAAAGCCAGTGGACCCGTCCCGCCTGGACTGAGACGCCACCGGTGCGTTGCCTTCGGCGGCGACCGAGAACCTGTCAAGCTGCCTCTCGAACAACGAATACCATCAACAGCGGTCCAGACCTGGCTGAAGGCCAATTCCAGACCTACAGACGGACAGTTTCGTGGTTTTCAACGTTGACGGGCACTCAGAAAGACCGATCCCGAGCCGGAGACCCTGCGCAAGGCATCAACGAATTCCGCATGCCATGTCGACCGTTTTTTTGCTCCCCACCAGATCACCGCTTGGTCATTGCTTACCTTAGGGCAGAGGATTGGTGAGGGGCAGAAGGCTGGCAGGTTGGGCAACCCTGTCGGGAAGCGAGTCCAGACCACTCAAACCTCGGACGAAAATCAGATTCGGCATCTACATCTCTTGCCCCCATGTCGTCTGGGAGAAGACTGCGACTCAGACGGGCTGTCTTAATCGGACGGCATGTCACGTTGATACCTAGTCACGCAGCCCAATGGTTCATACCGTCTACGGAGTATCCGTCCTGTCAGTGTCCACAGATTCCGTACCTACGGTCCTACGGATTGCCCTGGGCACGCCTTGTCGACCTTGGCCTGACAGCCGGGAATGCGAGGACAAAGTTTGTTGGATGAGGCCGTTGGAATTTTCAGCTTGGCGGCTCCCCTATTCAAGCTCTTACGGCTCTCAATCTCCGTGCGCAATTACACCCGTACAGATTAGCTCATCGGGATAGATGGATTGTCACCCAGGGGAAAAAAAGAAAGCCACGCGAAACCCGAGGAGGCTGCGGTGCCGTGCCCCGTGGGTGCCTCGAATACCTACCTCCTGGAATCCCACGCAGGTCTTGGCTCCCCCGAGTTTCCTCTACTTTTCTCACTCATTCAGCCTCAGCACACCCACTCACCTCGACCGATTTCAGCCGGGAGAGATCATCAGTCAGAACCTTCTTGTGCCAAGGACGTTGGTACTTGGTATCCGTGGAGTTCTGGCCTACAGGCTAACGGCACCTACACTACCGACAGACGACAACTGTGTATCGGGTATCCGTATGTAGGCTGGCTGCCTGAGCGACGGAGGCACGTTAGCTGGCCTTACCTTAATTAGTGCCGCGCGCTATACCCACCGATGGGCTGTCATCCGGGACATGACAGACCCCTGGGCCCTACCGCCCTGGAAGAGAGTAGGTGGTGACCGACCGTACTTCGTACTCTAGAATATACCTTACGTCGCCGTCGCTGCCCGCCGGCGTCGGCCCCTCTCTCAGCCGTAACCGAGAGACCCTAAGGCCTAAACGGCCTAACCCTGGGCGGGCCCAGCAGCAGTGCAGCAGCGCATCACCCTAGCGCGGAACCTTGGCCAGAATCATGACGGCGGGGAGCTTCGAAGCTACACCATCTTGACTGCTACCACCCTGCGCCCCCCTCCGATGTGGCAGTTTGATACCCTCCTGACGCCGCGGGGAGAATGGAAATGGGAAAGAAGCAAGCAATCTTCTCCCGCGGCTGGTTGCCCTGCCCGAGGACAAGGTACCCATCCTGTACGAGGTGCTCTGTACAGACGCTCTGTGCCGAGATGTTCACCTTGCAGGTTATTGTCCAGTTCGGTGGCAGTGTCTTAGCAACAGCAACAGGGAATATCCAGTACCAAATGGAATCTGACCTTGGACAAGAGAACCAAAAAGCAAGCCCAGCCAGCGGCAAGGTGTGGGTGTGCTGCGCTGTGTTGCAATGCTGTGCGGCGTCCGCAAGCCACCGTAATGTTTCCTCCCTTCCCGTCGTCTTGCCGCACCACCAACATGATCCACGAATAACTCAAGGGTACCCCCGTCCCCATCATTGCTGTGGCTGGCTCACTAGCTGCGCCTTTCTTCTCTTGTGCTTCCCCCCCAATCCCCTCGAATAATACATCCAAGTCCCGGGAGCGATTCCATACAAACTGTTGGTGCGTTTTTTTCCTTCTGTCTCTCTCTCTGATGTTTCTCTCTCTCGTCACAATAGTAGCAGGAGAGACATTGACGGCTTCCATGACCCCCCTGTCCCGCGCGCCTACCAGAGAAAGGCGCAAAGTAAGAAAGAGGGAAAGAGAGTGATTGTGTGAGAGAGAGGAAGAGAATGAGAGAGACCGAGGCAGCTCAGGAGATACACGATAGAGACAAGACGCACATACTCTTCTTATCTTGTTCTCCATTCTCGCCCTAGCGGTCAGCAGTCTAAAGTAGTTCTGTACCTCTCTTAATGCACCTAGGTAAGGTACCTTGCCTTACGGGGCACTCACCAGTCACGACAATACGGCACACTAAGGTACGGATACTGAACCATTACTACGACTTAGGTGCCGGCTTCCATCCTCGTCGTCCTTTCTATCAACCCCGGTCATCCCGGCCTCCTCTTAGTCCAGAGAAGGAGGTACTTGCTGCTTGGCAGTTCCCCCGTTGTTTGTGGCCCATCTGTTCTCCCCACGCTGGTCTGCTCTAGCCTCGAATCAGATACCCTAACTCAAGGCACAATAGAGTGCCTTGGGACCTCTACTTTCTTTCTTGGTCTATCCTTCCTTGTCCTAGGGTGGGCAAGTATCTCTCTCTCTCTTTCTCTGTCTCTGTCCCTCTCACATACTCCCTCACTCTCTGGATACCCAGTCCTAATCCTCGTTCCTCCTGTTGTGAGAAAGAGACAGATACTTCCTCCTCCTCCTCCTTCCTCTCTCTCTCTCTCTCGCGCGCTCTCTCGCTCTCCCAACTGCTGCAGACATCCCTACCCTTCCTTACCCCCCGTCCTACCCCACGAGTCCATGCATCTTGTCTAACCCATGACTACCCATTCGCCGAAGACAAAGTAGCACCATCCTGTTTCACTTCCTTCCACCATCTATGGCTGCTTAAAACTCATCTACATCCTTGGGACCCCGTCCATACCTGCGTCCTCTTGATTCTCTCCTTCGATCCGGGTGCCGCGCACAAGAAACGGGACTTACCCACAGTGTCTCGCTACGCTGCCGCTAGACCATTCAACAACACGCCCAGAAGCTTGTTGGCTCAGAAGATTACTGTAGTCTTTCACACATTCGACAACGAGTCAAGCCTTGGAACTTGACTTGTCTCGTAACCATTCTTATTAGCTTCACGATATCTGCCTTAGACTGCTACAACAATCTCAGAGAAAACCGCTTCCACCTGTGGGGACGAGACATTCCCTATATCAGCGCGCTGCAGAACCACAGACTACTACCAGACAATGCAGTCTGTAGTCGTCAACATACTCATGGATTAAGAGCCGCGTCGCAAACCCCGATCTTACTCGCAGCGCACTAGCATCTACTAGGATGGATTCTGCCGATGTGGTCGTCGAGGACGACAAGTCACCGTCCAAGACCTCGGAGAACAACAACAATAACGACGACAATGAGAACGAAGACGCGAACCGCAAGAAAGAGAAAGCAAATGTGCGGAAAAGGACGAAAACCGGCTGTCTCAGTATGTTCCATATGTCGAACCCCAACTCTGACCCTTGGCCTCCATCCACCCCCTTTCCTCCTGGCCTCCCCTCCTCACGTTCATGCCTGGTCTAGACGTCTGACTTGACTCCAAAGCATGTCGCAAACGTCGCATAAAGTGCGATGAAGGCCGGCCCATCTGTAACAACTGCATCAAATCCAAGAGGCACTGCGAAGGGTACAATCAGCGTGTCATCTTCAAAGAACCCATCGCCGGATTTAATATCAATGGCAGCTACGGCCCTATCGTCTATCCTCCCGAGGCGCCAAACCAGTCGTTCAATCAACTGCCCAACCCGCCACCCAAGTCCATCAATGGTCCGCCCCTGGCACCGATCGCGCCTAAGCCGCCGCAACATCTAGATTTCCAAGGCCAGCCGATGTTTCCCTATGGTCAAGGCTTTACCGGTCAGCATCAACACCAAGCCCCTCCTCCTAATGCCTTCGACTTCAACCAGTTCCCGTATGGCGAGCAACACATGCCTTCAAGCTCGTCCATCATCTCACCAGCTAGTCAATTTCAGCCGCAATTTGGTGGTCAACAGACCAACTTGGTCAGCCCCAACACAGATAGTGGCGCGTTTGTCCACAGCCCGACAGAACCATGGAGACACCAGCCGCCGAGAGCTCAGGCACAGGTGGAAGAGATGGATGTGTATCCCAGCACCAATGCCGCTCCTCAGATGGATCACCCTGTGGAGGACGCAGAGTTCCAGTACCCATGCTCGGACGACGATGCCTCCATGCCTGACTCCGAGGACGCATTTGAAGATCTAATGGGCGAGGAGAGCGCGTACGGCCAGCTGGTGCAGAGCCGGAACGATGGACCTTGGGATGGATTCGGAACTAAGATGAGGTCCTTCTCGGCCTTTGCTGACGAGACAATTCTCACATCGTACATACCTACGCCCAACAATTCGCCACTCAATGACGAGCGAACTGCTGCTTTGTTCTGGCACTTCATCAACGTCACGGGTCCAAGCATGTCGCTATACGAGCGGCATCCTTTCGACCACTCAAAGTTGACAAACAACTTCTCCGTGCCTAAAGCAGGACACAACATCTGGACTTGTAAGATGATGGTATTCCGTGGTTTAAGCTTTCCCTCTCGACTAACTCTTGACCAGACACATTTCCCATTATATCATTTACACATCCTGCCCTCCTGCAGGCAATGCTTGCATTGGGCGCGTTGCAGATCGCCAAGCTACAGCAGATACCGCCGACAGCAGCTATGAAGCACTATCATCTTGCCATCCGCAGGATCGCAAAGAATCTACGGAGTCCTAAGAGGAGAACGTCACCGGCAACGCTGGCTGCCTCCCTCTTGCTTGGGTACTTTGAGGTCTGGAACTCGGATCACACAAAGTGGTGCAACCATCTCTTTGGCTCCAGGCTCTTGATTAGGGAGATCCCCTTCAGGCAAATGACAAAGAACATTCTGCCGCTGAAAAGGGTGAGAAGGGCGCTGTTCCAGGAGAGCCAGAACCAGCCAATGGACCCTTTTTACATGGGCCACGACAACACTCACATGATGAGCCACGATCTCGATGATCTCGATCTCGGCTTCCTTAGCAAGCTTACCAACCAGCACGTCTCGTACGAGGACGACGAGCCATCTCCACACTACTACACAGACCGCGATATCGAGCACTACGAACATCTGAGAGATTTGTACTGGTGGTACTGCAAGATGGACGTATATCAAAGCATGTTGGGCGGAGGGAAACCTTTGTAAGTTTCGAAGGATATGGATAACATTGCAGTCAAGATGGTTAGTTGGCTTACAAGCGAAAATAGCATGGACTACCAGCACTGGACGCAGTGTCCACCACGAGCACCCATGGGCCGACTTGAGGCCATGTAAGTCTACCCATGTCGCCATACATAAGGCACGACTTGGCTAACAAATAGTAGATACGGGACATACGATCACCTCATGCTGCTGCTCGGACGCCTGTGTAGCTTTGCATCTAAAGATCTCCCCAGAAAACGGAAATCCTTCAAGGGTTTTGGTCCTCCAGGAGGCCCCCCTGGCGGACCTCCCGGTGGACCTCCCGGCGGACGGCCTGGAGGACCACCAGGCGCGGGTGGCCCGCCGAGAGGCGGTCAAGGTTGGCCGCCGCCAGGGATGGGACCGCCGCCGGGAATGGCGACGGGCATGCACGGAGGAGGGCCTCCCGGTGGGATGATGGGAGGAATGCCAGGTGGACCTCCCGGGGGCCCTCCAATGGGCATGCCGCCGCCAAACATGACGGGAGGGCCGCCGCCAGGAATGGGGCCGCCACCGGGAATGGGCCCCGGCGGCCCCGGTGGCTCGCCGCCCATGTTTCCGGGCATGCTCCCCAATCTCGGAAAAGTGACGCTTCCAATGGGCTTCAGCCCCCCGCGCGACGACTCCCCACCACCACCCGACGCCCGAGAGGAAGACCTTGACTCAGACGAAGCCGCAGACGCTGCTATGCGCGAGTGGACCTCCCTCCGTGAGGCCTTTGAGATGCTCCGGTCCCGCTTCGGCCCCGAGTTCCAACCCCTGGGCGCCGAGTATGCCGACCGCCGAGACTCACCCTTTGGTCCCACGCTGCAGTACCGCACCTTTTCGGTGGCGGGCATCTGGATGAACTACTACATGGGCCTCATCCACCTCTACCGCGCGCACCCCAAGATGCCACCCGCCGCTATGATCGCGGCGGGGATACAGGCACAGCACACGGCCAAGTTCGCCATGGAGATTGGTCGCATTGCGGCCGGATTGACGGACGATTGTAGCAATGTGCTCGAGATTAGCACCCTCGTCGGCGCAGCGCTGATCGAGAGTTCATTCTGTCTGTTCGTCAGTGCTATTCAGGTGAGTAGACGCCCCTTTCTTCGCCCGCCTTCTCGCTCAAAGACACACTCTCCGTGTTCTCTTGTACTTACCGTATATACCACGCCTGCTAACACTCTCCACAGTACCAAAGCGACGCCCAACGTCACTGGATCGTCAGGCGCATGCACGACATCGCCCGCCTCACAGGCTGGCAGTCGGCGCGGCAGATCGCCGAGGGCTGCGAGTCCGGGTGGAAGAAGGCGGCAGCCATGGGCCGGGGTCCGCCGTACGCGCGCGACCCGAGCCTGCAGACCGTGGTGCCGCCGTCCGTGTGGTCGAACCCGCGGCGTATCGGCGCACGAATCGAACAGCTCGATAGTGACGACACCGTGCTCGTCGTTGCCAAGTCGGAGAGGGCGTTCTATGCTCTGGGTCTGATTAGCGTGGAGGAGGAGATGGAGAGGTTGGTGATTAAGGATGAGAATTGAGAGGAGGTTGACTCCCGGCGGAACCACCTTGGGTAGCAAGTATTCTGAGCGACTGTGAGCGTTGATGGAAGCGTGGGCATGAGCGCATCCGTGTCAATGGGTGGAGGCGCAACATAGGTAACGTCTTGGAGAGAGGCCATAGTCCTACGTTTTGTAAATACAATATGCCCACTCAAAGCACCACCGCCATATATGAGATTCGGAGAATGAAGCCATCGTCACGTTGAGTACAATAATGATACACTTTCGGGGAGGAAATTCGTCTATGCGTCAGGTTCCAAGTTTCGTAATCGGATGATTTCTGGGTCTCCCGCTTTCTCTCTTTTTTTGCGCTCTCTACCTCTTTCTTTGGCTCAAGTGTGTTCTTTCACTTCTTCCCGAGTCGCCGAGACCGCGAGATTGCACCCTATATCCTCTTTCAAACACCACGGACCTCCCTTCCCTTAGTTCGCAGGGAGTCTCTCCACCACAGCGGCCATCTCCTCATCCGTGTATATTCTGAAGCCCTTTTCCTTCGTTACGCTCGCGAGCTGGACGTTTTTCGAATCGAGCTTCTCCTCCATGACCTGCTTGAGCGTCTTGAGCACCAGCGTCTCGGCATCCGTAATTGACAGGGACTAGTGGGGTGTGTTAGTGCTTGTGCGAGAGATTCGGCGGGGCGCCGAGTGAGAGAACCGAATATGTCAGCGCCTGGGGTTGGGGAGAAGGGAAAGCTCACCTTGTGGTACTCGTTCTGCAACTCAGCCTGCGCACCCTCGGAGCCGGAACCGATAGCCTTGGCGTCGTAGCGGTAAAAGGTACCGCTGGGCTCGGCGTGGAAGAGCTGGGGGCCGTCCTCGTCGTAGCCGGCGATGAGGAGGGCGACGCCAAAGGGGCGGGACATGATGGTCTCCTCGCCCTCGGCGCCCTCGCCGAAGCGGAGGGCGAGGTCGCAGATGGCCTGGGTGCACGACTCGACGCGGAGGGGCTCGTTGTAGTTGAAGGAGTGGGACTGGGACTCGACGCGGGCGTGCTCGACCATGGAGCGGGCGTCGGCCTGGAGGCCGGACATTGCGCAGCCAATGTGGCGGTCAATCTCGACAATCTTTTCGACGGACGAGGTCTCGAGGAGGGTCGAGGTGACGCGCTTCTCGACGCCGAGGACGACGCCCTCTGCGGTGGCGACGCCGATGGCCGTGGAGCCGAGCTTGATTGCCTCGAGGGAGTATTCGACTTGGAAGAGGCGGCCTTCTGGGGAGAAGGTGTTGATTCCTCGGTCTGTTGGATTGGAGGGGATTATGTTAGACGAGAAAGCTCTCTGGCGAGGGCAGGAGGAGAAGCTGGGGATGCTTGGTTTGGGGTGCTTTACCGTATTCAGATCTTGCCATAAACATCTTGGCGGTGTTGTGTGTTGTGTAGTTCCTAGAGGATAGTGAGGAGTATTCGGGTCGGCAAGGTCAATGGCTTGGATGTCGTCGGAGTTGAGGTTGTCGTGGTTCGGGGATTGCGTGGATGCTGGTGGTTTGGGATGAGGTGTGGATGGATGGAGGGGGAGCTTGGAGGAAGGTCCAGGTAACAAACGGTGACGGTGGAAGGCTGAGATGGCAGGTGTGGTTAGGCAAGCACATGGCCTACGCAGCCGCACCTCACAAGCCGGGCACGCCTGGGTAAGCTTCCAGTGTGCCAGGTTCCCTTTGGAGGGCGCACGGGGGGTGTGGCCCAGCACCTCAGCAATTGGAGCCGACACCGACCGGGCCCCAGGCCATACTGCCCCCTGTTCTCTGACTGGAAGCTCCATGATTGGTCATCTTGACCACTCCCAGATCCCCCTCCAACAGCTGCCGCCCCCCCAAACGCTAAACCCGGAATATTCCAGGGGAGGTTTACCACATCCGGGACCGGGGTCAACAACACGCGAGGATTTTCCGACTAGACGCGCTTGAGGTTAATGGCCCTTTACCGCGTTTGAGTACCTGAGTACAGCTAAGGTACCGTACGCAGTGCCCAACCCACCTTCACGCGCGGAGTGTTAGACTGCGACTCTGCGATAGAGGGGCAGAGAGACAAAGACTACAAACCACAAGACCAAGCAACGGATACCTCAGAAACACCACCAATCCCCTCTTACTATCCCAGCCGAGTCGGCGTCTTGCCATACGAACAACACTAATACCCCTCCAAGACGCCTCCCACACTTCAGATGCAGCCGGCGACATGTCGTCTGGCACCACTAGGGTCTCAACCCATGAGCGGCGCGCAAACGGCTCGGCCGCCGGCGTCGACCAGGACCGACCTTCACGAACGGCACGCATGAACGCAGCAGGCGCGGCGGCGAGCGGCACAGGCACAGGCAGCGGGCAGACGAGCTTCAAAAGCGAGCGCAGCGAGAGGAGCGATGCGCGGCAACGAGAGAGGGAACGAGAGCGGCCGCGGGAGCGCGAGCGTGAGCGTGAACGAGAGCGGGATCACCACCAGCAGCGCGAGAGGGGGGAAAGAGAGACGTCCCCTGGAGGCAATGCTCACAAGAGATCCGCGTCAGGGAACCCCAGAGCTACGAGTAGGATGCACGACGACAGGCGTGTGGAGGAGAGGCGGACGGAGAGGACCTATGTGACGGAGCGCGAGACCATGACGCAGCGGACGAGGAGTCCTGTGAGGGGTGGAGGCGATAAGGGGAAGAGCGGCGAGGCCAAGTCGCGGACGGCTGAGGCGAAGCCCAAGGAGGCCAAGGTTGACACTCCGCAAGGTTAGTGAATGCGATTGCATTGGTGTTGGGAGTAACTACGGCCGTCTAACTAGGCAACTCTGCAGCACCTTGGAACCCAGAGGCGACACTATTAACTCACACATCGGCTCCCCTGGCCTGTCGAATATCCATACCGCCGTTGGCGGCACAGGCGCCGCAGCCTCAACAACCGAAACCCCTAAACGAGCTATCTCTCGAGGCGCAAGAGGCGGTGATGTTGGAGGATCTCCTCTTCGTCTTCATGGGTTACGAGGGACAGTATATCCGCTTCGCAAAGACTTATAATCCGCACGAGGAGAGGGACCGGTTGTCGGGTCCCACGTTCAGGATACTGCCAGGCCTGGATCCTAGTTTGCAGGACCTGACACTGTCGATGCTGAAGATGGCAACATATTATTCAGCCCTCGAAATGTTCGTCGATGTGCAGAGTAGAGAGGAATTCGGCGCCGTCAATCACGCTCTTTGCGCCTCCATCAGGAAATTCTTGCACGACTACCTCATTATGATTGCGCAGCTGGAGACACAGTTCCTGACCAACGAGACTTTTACTCTACACGTTTTAAACATCCACACATTACCGACTAGCAAGATGATGTCGCATCTTTACTCCCTAGCACACGACTTGCTCAAAAGGAATGCGCTTCTAGACGACGATGACGAAGAAGAAAGCGATAGCGCAGACGACTTTGAGAATATTCTCGAGTCGCTGCGGGAGGGCGGCGACCTAGTCCCGGGCTCGGGCAAGAAGATTTGCAAAGGCGGCGTTGTGTTGGGTCTCATCACGAAGAGGCTCGAGTCCATGTCCGGAGACCCGGCTGCGCGCGCGCTGTTGACGTCGCTGCTGCGCGATGCTAGTAAGCCTTACATGGTGATGCTCAACGAGTGGCTGCACCACGGCAGCATCAACGACGCGCACGCCGAGTTTCTAGTCAAGGAGCAAAAGAGTATTCGGAGAGAACGGCTGGAGCAGGACTACACGGACGAGTACTGGGAGCGACGGTACACGATCCGGGAGCACGATATTCCCCCTCAATTGGAAGGTGTCAAGGACAAGGTACTATTGGCGGGCAAGTATCTCAACGTCGTCAGGGAATGCGGCGGTGTGGACGTGAGCAAGGTCGTCCAGGACGTGCCGACGTCGTTCGACGACAGCCGCTTCCTGGAGAACGTCAACAATGCATATGCGCATGCCAACGAGTCACTCATGCAGCTGCTTCTCACGACGCACTCGCTTCCCATGAGGCTGCGGTCGCTGAAGCACTACTTCTTCCTGGACCCGTCCGACTACTTTTCCTACTTCCTCGAGCTCGGCACGTCCGAGCTGCGGAAGCCGGTCAAGTCCGTTAACACCGGCAAACTGCAGTCCCTGCTCGACCTGGTGCTGCGCCAGCCGGGCAGCGTCGTCTCGCTGGACCCTTTCAAGGAGGACGTCAAGGTGGAGATGAACGAGATCACGCTCGTCAAATCCCTGCAGCGGGTCGTCAACATCACGGGCATTGAGCAGGGCGAGACGCTGCAGCCGCTCGCGAACCAGCAGCCCATCGAAAACGACAAGAACGCCATCGGCTTCACGTCGCTCCAGCTGGACTACACGGTGCCCTTCCCCGTCTCCCTCGTCATCAGCCGCAAGACCGTGTGGCGGTACCAGGCGCTGTTCCGGTACCTCTTGTCGCTGCGCTACCTCGAGTCCCAGCTCTCGACGACATGGTACTCGCAGACCTCGGGCCTGACGTGGTCGCACAAGAGCTCCTCGCGCGGCCTCGAGATCTGGAAGCGCCGCGTGTGGACCCTGCGCGCACGCATGCTCGTCTTTGTGCAGCAGCTGCTGTACTTTTGCACGGCCGAGGTCATTGAGCCCAACTGGGCAAAGTTCATGTCCCGGCTCAAAGTCGGCGAGGAAGGCCAAGAGGCGACGGCGGCCGGGGGGACGACGCCGACGCGGACGGTGGACGAGCTGATGCAGGATCATGTGGATTTCTTGGATACGTGCTTGAAGGAGTGCATGCTCACCAACAGCAAGCTTCTCAGGGTATGTTTTTTCTCCTTCTTACTACCACGCTCAATATCGCGCGCATAGTACAGTCTCCAGCTAACATGCAGACCCTCGGCCAGATCCACTCCAAACTCATGCAAACCTGCACAGTCTTTGCAACCTACTCCAACTGGCTCTCCCGCGAGCTAGAAAAGGCCGACCCGGACCTCTCGGGCGCCACGCGCCCGCCCAACATGACGGCAGACCAATGGCGCGCCTTCCAAGCCGTCAGGACGCAGAAGCCCTCGTCCGGGCCGGGCGCGGGCGGCACCACCTCACACAACGAATCGACCTCATCGGCGGGGGGCGGTGGTGGCGGCAGCGCCGCGGAGCAAGAAGCCCGCGTGAGCAACCTCTTTGAGATTATGAAGAAGTGGGAGGGCAACTTCAGCAGGCACCTGCAGATCTTGCTCGACGCGCTGAACCACTACGCCGCGACGGAGACGGTCGTCCTGCTGAGTCTCTGCGCGAGGTTGAGCACCGCGAATCAGGGGACCGAGTATGCGGGGTTGAGGAACGAGGACGATAGCGTTGCGTGAGAAGAAAATATACCCCCTCTGCCCCTCCTAAGAAACGTCTTTTTTTGTGCTTCAAAAGAAAGAGAGAGAGATTCATGGCATGGCGTATGGCTTTGCGGGCGGTTTTTTTCGCGGCGTTATAATGGAGATGAGTAGACAGGCGGGTTGTCTAGTAGCTTCAACTGTTGCAAAAAGCTTGAAGGAGAGAAAGTGTTTGAATGAGAGAGAAAGAGTTATAGAGACGATAAGAGAAAAAGGGTCAGTTCCTTCGTCCCGGGGCCTCGAAACCTTTGCTAAACAGATACCAATACCATGGATTGAGTAATGTGCATCTTATTGCCAAGCGCAAGTACTGACCATTGTCTGAGCTCCCATCCAGACTCCCATCGCGCATACCCTTAATGGAGCATTTTGTGCCGTGATATTCATACCGTGTGACATTATTTTATTCGTCTCAGTATCGTTCAAGAGAAGAGATGCTTGCTCTCTCCAGGCGTGCCCTTCTTTTTCGCCATAAGTTCGTTTTTGGGTATACAGATATGATACACGATTGTTGTTGGTACAGATTGGTACAGCTTTTTATAGCAACATGGCTCGGAACCTTAACATCTCTCTCTCCCCCCTCTAATCCTTCTTAAGGGCCTCCTTGACGAGCTCAGCAACACGCTTCTTCTCGACCTCGAGGTCCTTGTCCCCAGTCGCCTTGTTGATGAGCTTCATGACCTCTCCAAGCCCGCTCTTGCCCGCGGCGACGGAGTCCTCGATGGCCTTCTGGATGAGAACGCGGACGTCGGCCTCGGTGACGGTGACGACGCCGCTGCTGGCAATGTACTCGGCCATAACCTTGGCCTGGGTGTCCTCCTTCTCAGCGAGGTCGTCGCGACCGGCGTCACGGAACTGCTTGGCGGCGTCCTGGGTGGCGCGCTGCGTCTTGCGGAGGAGGGCGACCAGCTGGGCGTCCGTCGCAATGGGGGAGTCTGTCTTGGCGGCGTTGTTGGTGGCGGAGAGGACGGAGCGGAGGACCGAGAGACGGGGCGCGTCCTTTGCGCGCATGGCGGTCTTGAGGTCGGTCTTGAGAGTGGCCAGGAGCTTGGGCTGGGCCGGAGCGGCATCGGAGTAGAAACGGATCGTCGTCCGGAGGGGGTGGACGCGGCCCGGCACCGTTGGCCGGAGGGCTTGGACGAGACGGGCTGAGGTTCGGGAGGCCATTGTGGGCGGAGGGAGGTCGTTCGTTTGCCTAAGCTTAAATTATCGAGGGGGAGCGGTGGTTGTTCCTCAATTGATCGGTCTTTGTGTCGTTCTGACTGTAATGGGGTAGTGGTACAATGCGGTCGACAAGCTGTTGTTGGTCTGTCAGTTGCAGTCATGCAGAAAAAAAAGTTACTGCTGGGAGCTCTCAAAATGCATAAATGTTCGGGACAGCTTCTCATTGGCTAGCAGCGGCTAATTGTTCTGGCCAGGCCCACGGCAGCAGGAACATCCCCGGATCCTCTCCTCCACAGGTGGCGCGAAGTGGCACCAGTGTCTGGGAGTAGCGTCCGTGAGGATGTATTGGCCGGGGGGGCCGTTGAATAAAAAAGTGGTCGACATATTGGACACACTATTGGCAGTAGTTTCCTCGCATTCTACCCTTTGAGGGTGCCATCTTGGCTGAAGATTGCAGATGCCAGATTGACAGGTACATGGAGGCCTGATGGTTCGGATGACACAATCGGCCGCACACTTTATGCGTTCAGGGAATCTCGCGGATACTTCAACTTCCAAGCCATCGATGCGCACATAACTTGGGACACGCGTTCCGTCGATGGGCGTGCTGGTGATAACTCCCGGATCAGTTGGAGCTCTTGTGAAAGAATGTGATGCCTATGCAAACTCCGAGGCCCAAATCACCTGATGTGCCGAAGATCAGGGGAGCTGCAGGAAACAAGGGTCGGGGCATCCGCGAAAGGTTCCCGATATCACATCCACCGGGTGTTCCAGGTTCCAAGTTCCAGCAGCTGCCACCTATGTCGATTTGGCCCCGGTGGACAATCTGCCAGCCAAGCTGAAGGGGGTTGTGCGTCCATCGGATCGACATGCATAGAAACTTTGACCGTTGCATGCTTCATCATCGCGGCAGCTTCAGTTGAGGTCCCTGGCGTTGTGGCATTCCAGGGGCAGTGTCGGTATCCGCATCCGAACTTTGCAGTTTGCCCCAGTAGCTATCTACTCGGTCAAGAAGGAATCGTCAGCCGAAATGTCTGTGCCCCTGATCATGCTAGGGAGGAAGTTTCCGAAGCCGGGGAACCTAGATGGCGCAAGGGCTCTGAGCACTCACCGGCGTGGAACTTGGCTTGAATGCGGGCGTGGATGCTGGCGTGGAACTTGTGAGGGCGGCAGCGAGTGCGGAGGCGGCAAATGTGGCATGGCGCCAGCAAAATTATCTCATCTTCAGATGAAAGTGGATTCCGATTCTTTGTCAAGGACGTCAGAGTCAAGCCACGACTCGACGGTCCATTCCGCTCTGGCATGGGTTCGATGTGCCCAGCTCTGGTGGTGTTGTGACTTGTGTGTGTGCGTGTGTGAGAGATTGTGCAGGCTCAATGTGACGTGAGTTGTTCGTCTGCAGTCCACCTCGGTCCTCACCGAGAACCCGAGGAGACGGTAGCGAGAAAAAAACCATGCAGACCTCTTGCGTTCCTGGCAAGGCCTGGCGTCTTGCCTCCCTCCAATCTAATCTAACCCAACATGGAACAAATAAAGCAACAGCGGCGGATAACATGGTCAGGTACAGAGAAGGTAGAAGAACAAGAACTCGTGCCAGTTCCCCCCTTGAGACTTCCCGTCTGCCTCTTCCACCTTCAAGACGTCCCTTCCGAATCCATCACAGTGGGGGGATTCCTCGCCTTCCCTTCCCTTGCCATACCTTACCATACGTTCACATCACCTCAGGCAACCTGAGTCCACAACGTACGGTACTTATCTGTGTCAAAAGTTGGTAAGTAGGTACCTTGCCGTGAACATGGGAAGCCGCCGTCATCGTTCCGGATTTCTTCCTTCCTACCATCCAATAAGGCACTTACTTACCTTAGCTTCCGCCGCTCTCCACATGCGCCTCACTCTCTTTTAACTACACGCCTATCCCCTTCGGCTTCAACATATAGACACTATCTCCTCAGAGCATATCCTCTTCAATCTCTGTCTTGTATGAGGTGCTTCTTATCCCGAGACAGGAATAACAACATCCTCAGTGATCATCAGCACCCACTTCCGTTCTCTACCCACTCTGTCTGCAATTGTCGTCCGGTCATCGACAACTAGTCTCCCCTCGTATCTTGCGACTCTATTCGATAACGACAAGCAGTCGGCAATCGAGTCCAGCCTACGTTCTTTCTAAAGCGACAAAAAGCTTGCTCGCCGTACATCACTTGTCTGATGCCACACCTTCGATGACTGCCTTTTGAAAATCAGCAACGATGCGAGTACGGAAAGGGCAGCTTTGACTGGGCTCTCACAACTCCGTCATACCATCGCCAACGCCGAAGATCGTACAGCAAACAAGCACCTCAATAGCGAATTAATCAAATAGGATTGCGAGCTAGACAAGGGGTATTTGCTGCCGTCACATCGTCATCGTCGTAATCCTGGTCCAAAAGAAAAAGCCCATCAAGTCCTGGCTGGGAAACAACGCTCTACGCCACCATATAAAACTCGCTCTGAAAAGCAACATCGTCATATGGCCCTTATCTCCTCGTCTCAACGACGAGCCTTTCGTCCTATACAAACGTACCTTAAGGGCCCACATGTCAGCACTCGAAAGAAAATGGGCGGCTGGACAAGTTGGGAGTCACTTACATTGGGAAATACGCCTAGGGGGAGCCGCCGAGAGTGGCCTGAATGTTAGTAGGCATTCCCACTCGATAAAAATATGGTCCTTTTGAGGGAAGGGAACTCACCCTGAACGCCGGGTTATCAGCCTCGCTCCTTGCTTGAGCCACCAACACTTGGAACTCCTGGGATGTCATTCTGCGGTGCCACAGTCAGTTCAAATCGATCCGAACTCGGCGTTCAAGGCCGCAAACAATGGGAAAAGGAAGCCTCCCTTACCCTCGGAACTCTGTCATGGGATACATCGCCAGTGACGCAAGCATCCTTCTCACATTTTCTCTATTAGCCACACCGATTTGGTGCTGCCTCGGGTCTAGTCGAAAATCAGGTCAAAGTTTTTGCACTTCGATTTTGAGATTTCAATACCATTTGACCAACCGCAAGTCGGGAGAGGGATCATTTGGGTTTCCACGGAGTCGAATCCAGCACTTTGCATCCAACTTTGCATCTGCATCGGCGCCCTGGGGTCTTTGTACGGTTGCATACTATCCAGGTATCGTCTCGACCACCTACGAAGGGCGTGATCTGGCACAGCAGGCAATTAGTGCAGGGTCCAATCTCTAGAAGGGGAACCGACCTACTTTGAGTCAACGTTCCGTTGTCTGACTGCGCATTAAAGTATATCTCCACCATTTGACACCAACCGCCTGGTCGAAGTACGCGATGAATGTCTCGAAGGTAATCCCGCCATCGGTTCGAGTGGATACCGCCTGCCATCATCTGGCTATGTACGAGGTCGAAATGATTCGATGGAAAGGTGAACCTAGGCCAAGTCAGCTGAGGCAGAAACATGCCAGGGTTCAACCTGCGGCCGAAGCCCGCCTGGGAACGTACCTGCTGTTAAGGTCATCTACTTGCAGATTCAAGTTCGTTGGCGTCTGGCTTTCATCGGGCCAGATGTGTGGGCAGATATCGATGGCTACTACCTATCGGACAAAATCAGCACTGCTAACGCAGCGGCACCCGAAGCGGCGAGGCGATCAATCCGTTCCTGTCACTCGCCATCGTGGTATGGATGAGGCAAAGAAGATTGTAGTCCTCTCAACCAGAAAGCATGGAGTTTTCTGCACATAAACAAGCGCAGAAGAGGGAGACGATAGCCCGTCGCGTTGGCGATGGATGCAAACGGCTGGCCGATTCGGTCATCCCACGATGACCAGCAAAACGCGCCAAAGGCATGGATGCCGACTATCGTACAGTCGCGAAAGGAATGGAACTTGAGTGCGTACAGCACGTACCTCGCAGTTTGGGTGTTGTTGTGCAACGTCGATAGCCCAGTCGCCGGCTCCGAAGCCGCATTCGAGAATTCGCCGGGGCCTGGTGATCGGTGGGAAAAGGAGGCGATTTTCGAATACTATGGAGAGTACGACGTGCATCATTTGCAAGCGTTCAACCTCGTCCTACAGCCGGGTTGGAAAATACACTCAGCAAGACGTGGTGTCTTCAGGGGCGGCATGTCTCCTACCTCATCTATCGGCGCGAAGTATGCTCCATTGTCAACTGCGTATCGTTGGTATTCTCTACCTTGGTACGTGATGGTTTCCAGGAAGGCGTTATCCAACGGAACTGTCTGTGGATCACTGGGAATGGTTTAGCGATCAAAGGAATCCTTCGCAAGAGGAGACGAGTTTCAGCAATACCTTGCCATGTCGACAACCACAATGGAAGAATTCTTCTTATGAACAAGTTCGATTAGACTGAGTGTCTTTCGTCCAAAGCCTGCCTTTGGAATTCGATATTGGGATGAACTAGAGCTTGTATGTGGTGGTTACGTTGCTCCAACGAGGCGCTGTTCCTAGGGATCCAGGACGGGACGGAAGGCAAGGACTACTTCTCAAGCACTGCCCACAAACGAACCCCGAAAGTCCGTCAAAGGAGCCATATCCGGATCACAGGGGTTTTCACGAAGGCGGCAGTCGTGTCTAATAGACATAAAATTAACTGCCTACTACGTCGGAGGTGGGGACATCGGTCAGGTCGAAAGGTACTCGACATTGGCCGGCCATTGTTTTCTACACCCCACGACGTCGCTGCCGATCTTGGGCTAGTACACCACGACCTACACTGGAAAAGTTGGGAGCCTGTTCGGTACCGTTTGGTACGCGGTGCGGTGCGGACGAGGCAGTCTTCGGGTGACATGGATATGTCCTCTGCTGTTATTGCTGGCCCCGGACCCCCCCTGTACACACGAAAATTCGAGAATGGAGCCGGCAGACAACCAAGACGTGCTAATCCCAGGTCATTGAGTGGCATAGGGCGGGTGTGGCAGCGGGTCCCAACCCATCCTGGCAACTTGGACACCGCTTTTACCAGTTGCCAGATCCATGGATCCCGTTAACCGTAGCTTACCTTTCAGAGGCTGTCCCAGAAGCCAGGTAGATGGTCGTCTTTCTGAACGACCTGGTCGTTGCCTAGCGGGACGCACCATCACAGACCAACATCCCACAAGGCTGCGAAAGGGTCGATTGTGGCCTCTCTATTTACCCAGGACGATGCGTATTTTGAGCTTCTCTGAACGGCTCACCGCCGCCACCCCGGAGTCGGGCGAATACACCGATGCTTGCTGCTACAATCAGAGCACCCACACCCACGACAAAGCCTAGTGGTGGATGTTGTCTTGAGACCAACTGCATGGCCCGAGTCCTGGGCCCAACACACGAATTCCTGCTGTAACCCTCCAGCCAGTGCCCAGGCTATGGGAAGCTCTTCAGCAAACACGGCTCTCCATCCCTTGTTTCCTGATCAACCCCTCCCCCCTACCTCACTATGAAAAGGAGCGTTGCTCAAAGGAGGGGTTACATGGTCGATCCGCTCCCATCGCACGCGGAGCTTTACTCAAATTCCAGCGGCTCCCATGTCCCAAGGATCCGGTCGTTGGCTTGAACATGAAGACACAGCAGCTACATACAGGTGGTGGGAGGACGAGCTAGAGCAGCGTTGCACAACTCCCGATAGGATACAGAGCTGGACTAGGGATTACGCTGGCGCCACTTCTCCTGTCTCTCGCGATAACCCGCGGTTTCCACTTGCTGAGATTTCCCGAGAACACGGACTTGGATCCATCTCGGTGTTCTTAGGCTCATTCGCGACTTTTACGGCCCGGGGACGAATAGAAGAAGGGAGACCAAGAGCACACAGTTGCAGCTCGATGGCTACCTCGTCCGAGCCAAATCATCTCGTACGACAAGAAGACGGGAAAAACTGTCATGCTGCTTTGCCTGTCTGGCATTAAGCAGGCTAGGGTCATATGCAGCCGGGTAGTGACCAAAGGCGGAGTTTATGGTCTGATCCTCACACACAAAGCAGACAATCATCTGCACTGATGCCAGCAAAGTGAGACCCGCGCCATGCCCGTATCTCACGACAACGGCTAGAGAGGGGAGACGGGCGCCTCAGACAGAAACATCGATCTTTACTTTGCTCAGCACGCATGCCTGCTTCTTGAGACCTCAGGCCTCCACCACACCACCACCCCGAGACCATGATGGTAATAATTCGGTCGGATGGCGGTACAATATGCACGGGACAGGCAACGGTTTGCAAAATATAGGTAGGGGCATGGCTTTTTGCTGGTGGGTTGTGTTACTGCGCGTCTTGACACATTGGCGTATTCGGGTACGTGCTGATGAAGGTTTAATTATCACACTCCCTCTCTCGTTTCCTTTCCTTTGATATCTCATCCCTTCTGACCCTGGACTTATTGTTTGGCAGGCGTGTCGCACTTTTGGCAGCAGAGCTCACGGAGCTTGCGCTAACAATGTTTCCTGGGCGGGGGTGATTTTGATGAAGGTTGGAAGAAGAAATTGGCTGGGCCAATTCAACGAACGAACCCCTCGGCGGGCCGCTCTGCAGGTTTGAAACTAACACAGAGGAGAGAGCCTGGCCTCGCTGACCAGGTAGCTGCTGGCTCGGACAGTGGAGTTTCGGGAGAGGGCGCGATGACGCGAGCCACAAAACTCTCCTGGTTCCAGCTATTTGGGAACCGAGGAGCGAGGGTCGACAACCCTTCCTTGTCGGGGGAGACCACATCCTGGTGCTTGGGAGCACAATGCCTGTCCACAGCGGCCACGTACTCGCTGCACTCTGCAACCCTTGCACCAACGGGTTCAATTGCATTGCATGGCGGACGGGTAAAAAGCAAAGGGAGAGACTCTTTGAGACGACGACATACTGTGGTTGTGCTGGGCGCCAGGCAACTCACCAACCCACCACGGCCCTAATTGTTGATCTTGTTGACGTCAAAACGAGTGGTAAGACAGAGGTGTCCGGCCTCGATACAGACTTGCCTGAGTTACGCGATCAAGTCACAGCTGTGCGAGAGGCTGCGGACAAGTATAGGGACAATGGAGTTGCCGAGCATGTTGCACGGATGGCCCGGAGGCGACCCCGAGGACGGCAGACGATGTCATTACAACAAGCAAGACCGGTTATAAGGCGGCTCCCAATACATCGCAACGGCCGGGATGCGACGCGACAAGCAATTGGCAAATTGACGCTTATGGCTTGCTGGGTAGCCATAGACCTACCTAGCAAGTGGCCACGGTATGGAATTCGGAGCAGGGCCGCGATCCATAACTCGGCAACTCGAACGAAACGGGTTCCCTGCGCATGTGTTTACCGAGCAGCTACCCAGAAAGAGGTAGCTGTTGTTCTTCGACTGACGCAAGACACTCCTCTGCATCGGGGATTCAGGCAAGAAATTAGCCTGTCAGAGATGATGCACGTCAGAGGGGAGCATTCGACCCATCGCTCAACACCTAGGTTGCTCCCGTATGTGAAAATCCCTCCAGCCACTCAACTTGGACGAGTCTGATGAAAACAAGCAGGTGTCTGGAGAGGAACTCGAAAGCAGCGTGACTTGGCGGCCGTTGACCGCGACCTCTCGCCTGCGCAGTTGCGGACCATGCATCTGCATATCCATACATACACAATAGTCCACAACTCTCTTTACCCGACATGAGAGAAATTTGGCTTGTGGCCTGCTTCTGTTTCCTTCGTCCAACGGCTTTTCTTCTTCCCATGCAGAGAGGGGGGAGATGAGTTGGCTGTCGATGAGGAGTCACATTCATTCCCGCGAGCAGGGAACCCTAGTCGACAAGCACCCTGCTCGTTCCTCCGTCTTCATTTTCCTCTCGAACAGAACCGTACTCTCGGGTTCCAATAGGACGGGATGCTGGGGCATATCGTCCCCCTTATCGGTGCCAACCGGCCCCCTACGACCCCTGTCTTGCTGACGGGACCGCAGCTTACGGACTAATACCATGACACTGCGATACAAAGATACCCAGCTGAGCTCCCCCTATTGTTGAATCCTGGATGACGAGCGGCGTTGCCTGCCATCTACGATCCAATCGTCTGGCAATGGCCCCCGGTTCTACGGAGAGCATATCCAAGGACCAGGTTTCTGTCGTTTCACCAGGACGGGGGGAACAATGCTTCTAGAAGACCATGGTGTTGCGAGCTGACTTTCTGAAAAGGCATGGAGCGCGCGGTGCCGGTCCTGCGAGCCGGCGAGTCCTACCTCTCGCGCTCTCTTTTCCGGGTATTCGTAGAAAGGAGATGAAAGGTGCGGCTGCGGCTGCGGCTGCGACTGCGGCTTTACTGCGGCCATGGGCACATGAATCGACTTTTCCTCTTTCATCTCTTCTGCCATCTACCGACGATGCGGAATTTGGACGTAATACCGACGCCCACCCCTCCTATAATATTATTCTTGCGCGCACAGATCACGGGTTGGGCGGTACCCTGGCACACTCACGCCCATTCACACGCACGCACACACATACCTACCGTGTATTGTGTACGGAGTACAGCCCGCCAGGCCAGCAATGACGAAGGGAAGCGGCCGCGCCGCTACCGCCATCTTCGCTCTCCGTGAAACGCGACTTGAGATCACGGCTGATGACCGATGGATGACAATCTCCAGAGGATTCGAATATCTACCTTTGGCAAGCTTCGAAGAGCATTGACAGCAAAAGACAACCGGCGCAACTCGTCGAGAACGGACCGTCATCGTCCCAACGGTCTAACTAGGCCTCCTGCTGTGTGACTTGAGCAGTCACTTTCTATCCTGGTGGCACAATGCATTATCTCTTTTCGTCCTCGTCCTGCAAAATGTGTCATTACAAGGTGTCTCGCGGCCTTTGTCCGTGCTGTGAAGACCTGGGCTTTCTTTGGGTAAGTCCTCTCTGTATTTTTGCTTCTTTCTCCCTTCTTTCTTTGGTACCATGTTTGGAATTACGAGAATACGCCGCTTGGTGCATAAGCCCCCCTCTCCCATCCCCTGAACCGGATGGGCGCGCGAAAAGGTACAGATATGTAGGTCTAAGGTGACAAGGCCAAGTTGGAAATCCTTGCCTGATTCAACCCAGGAAAAAAAAAGGGACTTTTTTTCCTAGTTGCCGAAAAAGGTCATTTGCATGCGCGCCCTGTTATTTTTTCTTTCCTTAACCCTCTTTCCAACCTCCCGCAAAAAGGAAAACAGGACCAACAGTAATAGCAAATGTAGGTACGGATGCAACTCTCTCTCTCCCCCCTCACTTTACGGCCCATTACTAGCCTCCCCTATTCTTTGCTTTTCCTTCGTCTTCTTCTCACATCTGCGCTTATCCCTTCAACCCTTGTTCATCTCACGATGTCCTTTGAGAGTCCTGTCTCCTCTTCTGACCATGGGTCTGACTCTGCGGCCTGTTGGGGGCCCACGTCTCCCCTCGCGTGGTTGTGTGATACTATGTAGTGTGTCGTGTTGTCATCATATGTCTCCCTCATCATGTCTCTGGCTGTTGTCCGCCGTCCGGTTTCGTGTTGTCTGTCCCTGCGACCAAAGGTCTCTCTTTTTCCCTCTCTCTCTTATGTGCCCAGCCACGCTACGTCAAGGGACGAATGCACAAGAAACGCCACCAAATGCCATGTGTATCATGATTTCTCTTCTCTTCTCTTCTGTGCTGACGCGCTGAAGGGTGGGATCGGGGGAAGGAAGAGAAGGAGGAGGAGGGGTTAGTCAACTATTCTTGACACACGATCCGAAATTTGAACCCAACAAACCCCCTCCCCTGGTTCCCCTTATTTCGTACTCGGTGGTAATAACCGCCCCAAAGCAAGCAAGTGGGAATAAAGCAAAAAAAGAAGGAGGAAGAGAGAGAGAGGGGGGCATAACACCGCTTTCTCGACTCCTCCTCCTTCTCCTCCTCTCTCTCCACCCCGGGACCCCTTCCCTAGCATGGGACAACCGCAGGCGGAGCAAGAGAAAAAAAGGGACCCCACCAACCGATAACCCAGCTCCAACTCCTCTCCAACTCCGTGCCGCCCCCCCCGTAATGTTTTGCTCGATGCAGCCCCCCCGAGTGGATGGGTGGATCACCAGCAGGTGAAAACCGGGTTCCTGGCTTTCACCGGCTCCAGCCTCTCCACAATAACCTTGCGTTGGTTGCCCTCCATGCCCTCGGCGGCCGCATAGCCCAGGTCGCCCTCCTCGACGTCGTCTTCTTCGTCATACTCTTCCATGCTCCGGCGCGAGCCATACAGGTGCTGCGCGATGCTGCCGCTGTTGCGCCGCCCAGCTGCTGTTGCGAAAGAGTATCGCCTTTGCTGCTGCTGCTGCTGCTGGGACTGCTGACGAGCGGGAGAATACATGTTGAGGGCGCGCGTGCCGTGGTAGCTCTCTCGGTGCGGTTGTCCCGAGAACCTGGGCCGTTGCGACGCCGCGTCCTTATTACCTAGCGGTGCAGACGAGGCCAGTATTCCCGAACCGCTCATGGACATCTCGTCCGGTGATTGGGCTCCTTCACCCGTCGGGCTGAGAGCAAGCTCAAACCTGCCCGGATGAGGCATGTCGGCCGGGGGACTAGCGAAGCCTAGCAGGTCCTCGTCCACGCGGTGGGTAGGTGCAGCAGACGTGTTGGCCTGGCCAATGTCGCCCTCGTCAATGGAGCGTCGGAGCTCTGCCTCGCGCATCATCTCGGCGGACGTGACCCGCATGGGCACTGCAACTGGCACGTCGACAAGATCGTCCCAAACGCAGACCTTGGCGCGCCGTGTGAGTTCCAAAGGACCGTGGTCCGGTGTCTTGAGCGTCTCTACCACGTTCCATGCCTGGCCCTTCATGACTGCGATCTGCCGAGCAAACATCTTTTCCTGAAAGTCGGGATCCAGTTGAAACACTTTTCGCAACGCCAACTGTGTTTGGCTCCACCAGTGCGTTGAGGTCAGGAGGGGGAGGAAGTGATCTCGCGTCTTCTGCGAGAACGGCCGTCCAATCAGATCGACAGGAAGGAACAGCCAGCCAAAGGGGAAGCTGTATGAGATGGGCGGTTAGCATTCCTTTCCGCGCGCATTGCTATTTATGTGGAACAAATCGAAGGGGAAAGTTGGACCATCAAAGTGACACGTACCTTCGCCATGCATCGGGATGTTTCCAGGGCCAGGAGAGTGAGTTGTCGATAGCGCCAATCGTTATCTTGGGATCTTTTGCGCTTGGATTGGGACTGGATGCCTTCATCGGCTGCTGCGTCCTGTAGGGGTATGAGGAGCGGCTTTCTGCTGCTGGTCGCTGATTCAAATCCACCGGGCGAGGCCCGCTCTCTTCCGACGAAGCGGTTTCTGTGTTCATTTGAAGCGGCTCTGACACGATCGACACTTGCTGCGTGCTCCAGTCCACTTTGATCATCCAGTTATCCAGGCCGCGGTCAGTGTTGCGCATCATGTAGTCCAGAATGACCAGTTTCTCGAGCTCCTCACGGAAGGACTGCTTCAAGCCTTCCGTCCACACAAAGTTGTCGGGACCTGGAGGTAGCCGTTCCCGGCTGCCTTCATCGTCGCTCTCAATGTCATCCAAGGCTGCCGCACTGCTCGGCCGGCAGTTGTCTGCCCACCTTCTCCTACGCTTGCGATGTGGATCGTTGGTTCTGAAGCCGGACCAGTACTGGTCAGGCCATGGGTGTTCTCTGAGGAACACATTGGCGTCTTTGAAGCCTTTCAGGAAGACCTGAAAGCTCCCGGGTTTTTCTGGAAATGGCTTTTGTTTTCTGTAGAAACTGCGACGGTCCCAGAACGGGTAGTGGAAGGATTTTGAGGATAACCAGACGACATCCGTGTAAGGCACCATGTGGGTGCGCAGTTGGCAGTCCAAAGTGTATGCTGCCGCTTCGCTGACGTATGAAAGGTTGGGGATCAGACTGCGATGCGATTAGCCATGGAGCTTTCGGAGTTGCTGGGCAGTACCATACCATGCTCGCCCAAAGCAACAAGGAAACAGGTTCCGATGGATCCATTTGTTCCACTTGGGATTGCCAGCCGCGTACGGCTCCTCGTCCTTGGGCTTGAAGACACCCACGACCTTGCCCTCCGTATTCCGGGCAAAGTAGCTGCCGGAACTTCCCTGTGCGATCATTCGAGGATGCGTGCCCTGAAGAATGGCCTGCCTGACGCTGCCCACGATCTGTTCGAACTGCGACTTTGACATGACATCTTGCGGGGCAGCCAGGCCTTCAGGGGTAATGGGTCGGACGCCCTCGGGAGCTTGGAATACTGAATGATGGATCTCTAAATGCTCATCATCCCCCGTCTTGCCGCGCCCCTTTGTGCGCTTGAATCGGCTGGCGATCTCATCGGCCCATCGTTCTAATCGAGCATTGATAGCCTTTATGTCTACACCAGAGTTGCTGCCGCCGCGACGGCGATTCTTAGGTCTGGAAGGGCCGGCTATCGCTGGTTTGGGGGTGGTCATGCCCGAACGGGGCCGCGGTTGCGTGATGGGTGCGAAGCGAGGGGCCGAGGCCGGCTGGAGGGAGGCATACGACTGGGTGAGAGGGTCGTCGTCTTCGGAGTCGGAGGAGAGGGCATCGGCTTGAGCTAGGCGCTCGTAGCCCGTCGTGGGGGGTCGAGAGCGAGGCATCGTGGCTTTGGGGCCGCCAGGGATGAGGGACCGTCTCGGCGAGGAAAGGGCGAGGTAATTATCGAGCAAAGGCAGGGCCGGAAGTCAGAGCCATGTGGGTTGGCTTGCAGGACTTTGGATGAAAACTCGCGATCGAGAGGGCTTGTATGCTGGTTGATCGGCTGTATCTCCGTTTGAATGCGATAATCGTGCTAGCGAAGGGAATGCGGAATCTTGGCCTAAGAATGGATGGAGGAAGCCACGAAGTCAAACCCTCTGCAGGGAGAAAAGAGGGAAAAAAGGATAACACTGTAAAAACAAAGGTGGCTTCAATGAGACAACAGGCAGCAAGTTGGCGATGAAAGCAAAAGAGGGAAGTAGAATGGTAGGGCTGTAGTGGTGCTCGTGGTGGCGGTGATAGGCACAGAGCAATTTCTCGGCGAGTCGCGTCGTCGAACATGTGTCGTTAGGAATCCGTGGTTTCGGCGGACCGCGATGCTGTCATTGGGGTGCAACCGGTGCTGCTGTCACCCTGGTACCTTTTCGCAGGTACCTTACCTTGCTGCTCCAAAAGCTTGCTTAAGGTTCTAGAGCGCCTGAGGTGCACCGAGGCCGCCAGTTCTAGACGTTCATAGCGGTTTAGCACTGGGCAGTCGGCCCCTTGCCTCCGCGCTTCCCCGTGCTAGTGCTTGGGCCGGTGATTGGGGTACACGGAACGGACGCAGTGTTTACCCGATTCAAGTACGGATAGACTTAGGTAATATGGACGCCAAGTACGGAGTACCTTCAAGGCAACTTCGCCAACTTCGCTTGGAAGGTCGTGCCTTCTCTGTTGATTAGCAAAGATAATTGATCAGGTATCGAACAACCAGAAAGCTGCAAAGAACTTTGAGAAAGAACTTTTCATGTCTTTCAGATCACCTCTTCTTCTGCTGCTGTCAACAAATGTGTGCCTGTTCCAGGTCAGCTGATACCTGGCCGGACACTTGTCAAACGTTTACCAAAGCCAATGAGATGGGGAGACCCAAGTCTGAGAGCGGTGGTGCCAGCGTTTGCCTATCATTCTAAAGTGAGACACAGGCGGCCAGGCCACTTTTGGGCGTCTTCACATCGAACTTGTCGCAATAAGCCTTAGAAGGATGACGCTCGTCGATATTGTCATCCTGGAAGGGCGAGGGATGCTCTCCCAGCTCGCAAGATGTGGTTGACAAAGGAGATACTCCCAAACTCCGTGGTTAGGCAGCTTTGCTAGCCTGCATACCTATCTCGATCGGGCCAGCTGTGGATGGTATTTTGATCAACAGTGTCAAATACCCATCTTCGTTCTACCAGGTATTTAACGGCCTTGCATGCAACCAGACGTACCGCGGAAGATGGACAGAAGCCGTCGACTGCACACCCACAAGGACTATCGGCCTTTCCTAGCCAAGTGGCCAAGCTACTGATAGTCTTGCTCCTCTGTCGAATGAGATGCCACGGCTGTCACCCCGGAATCCCCCCCAAACTCTCGGGTCACAGCCGTGGACCCCACCCACACGGCACGTCGTTCTCCTCCTCCGCCCCCCTCGTTGAGTGCTCCCCTCCATGAATTGGTTCGATTCATCACCCGACCTTTCGATTCTGACTTGATCGTCCCGGGCCAAGGTTCCGTTTGCATTGCGTAGGTAGGATTGTACGACCTGACCAATCCAGTCCCAACGCCTCTCTTGATCCCCCGCGTCTTGTAAGTTTCTAATGGTGACTGATCAAACCTGGGTAATCCCCCCTTGCAGAGTGACAGATCCTCATCACCGTTTGCTTGCGGGTTTGAACGATTGAAGCGCGCCGTCTAACCCGAATAATCTTCATACGTCAAGCCTCCCGGTGTGTTGCGAGATCCCGATCAAGTCAAATCACCAGCTACGACGCCTGGCGCACATCTTTCCATCACCTCGTGATTTGCTCTCCTCTACTGGCCTAGTTACTTGCCTGCAACGGAAGTAGGAATTCTTTATCAAGTCCTGAGCCCGCTCCACCCTTTTGCCTCCCCAATTCCTTCCTACACAGCAGCTCAGGTTACATTCCCACATGTGACTTCTTGCATCAAATCATCTGCACGAGCTTCCATCATCATACCTGTGGATCAAATTTTCGTATACTGAATATGGCCTCCCAATTCGAAACTATGGCCAAACTTCGTTCGGTAACGTCGAGCCCCTTCCCTCCCGAATCAGATGCTCTCCGCGGCCGCAAGAGGCACCGCAGCCTCACGAGATGTGACCTAGAAGCCACGCACTATGGCGGCACGGGCGAGTCCAGCACGCTCCGGGGCCGACCCCGTCGTCGATCCACCTCGCCGACGCCGGTTTCATCCAGAGCGTCTTCGCGAGCCGGAGCCGGAGCCGGCGGCGGCGGCATGACGAGTACGACGGACGTGTCTCCCATGAGGAAGCGTCTCCTCCGCGTCGTGCTGCTGGAGCGCCGACGAAGCCAGAGCCCCTCTCGGTCTAGGTCGCCTGACCGCAAGCAAGCCCCACCCCGACGCCGACACAGGACTCGGAGCCGGAGCCGAACGCATCATACCAAAGACTTGTTCCAGCCGAAGGATCAGCTGCCTCGGCTTTTACTTGGAGAGCAGGCACATAAGAAGGTGGATACATCGGTTCAAGCCTGATTGTCAGCTGATCTAGGCAGCACGCGAACATGAAAGGAAAGCCCGGAATGGTTGAAATAAGGACGAGAACAAGGGAAACAACATCTCTACAACGCCAATCATGCAACTGCTCACATGGGATTATGCGGTGTGCTACCAAATAATATCCTTGGTATGCTGGCTCTAGTCGTTTAGTCGTTCGGAGTTTTTGAGCACGCCGATGAGACTTTGCCAGGAAGGAAATGTCTCGGACACCTCAGATCAACACAAGACAACCATCGAGGCATCCAGGGCCACGGTGAAGATCAATCCGGTTGGGTGGGTTGAAAGAATGGGTGTGGAAGTCCAGTATCTAATGGCCCATTGTCCGGCTGGTAGTGGGGTGAGAGCGATCTAAATTGGCTTGTACTGAACCTAAGGTGGTGGGCAAGGCTTGGTATCAGTGAGTAGGAAGTACACGTGTGAGAAACCTCAGGTCAAAGATGGGCCGGGGCGTATTATGTTGGGGCGCACTCGAGGCAACAGTGCCGAAAGATCCAGAGATTGAGAGTTGAGGAATAGCCAGTTTCTCAGACTGAGAGAGGAGGCGGTGACGCTTATGGCTCAGGTGGTGTTGATGAATACGAAGAAGAGTGTCAAATGTATTCTTCTCACCGGTAGATTCGGGTGACACTATAGTAAGGCGGGCGGGTAGGTTTGGTAAACAGGATATGCCTGATTAGGAACATCCATGATGATAAAGACAAATGACAAGAAAGAGAGAGAAAAAAAAAAGTTGTTTGGTCAAGTGATCATCCACCCTTTCACAGGCTGCCTCTGGGGAACCACTCGGACGCCCTGTCGAGGTGTACCTAGGACCTACACAGTAAGTGGTGTAAGAGAGAGTAGGCGAGGTACCTGATAGGTAGAAGAGGGTAGGTGAGGTACCTGGTGGTGGAAGGCTTGGGCCGAGATGGGAGAGAGTGGGGCGTTCAGATGGTAAAGGGTGGCCACGTGAGGATGCGAACTTTCCAGGTAGCTAATCGGAAATCGGGAATCAACGGGTCTCCACTGCAGCTGCCCCGCTGCAAGAGGCGGAGGGAACTTAGGGAGTGACCTCAGCTGCAAGAAGGCTGCAGCCAACTGCTGCACCACATTCCATGTGCCGCGCCTACCTTCACTTTTTTTCTACCTCCACGACCACCACCACCACCACTAACTCACTACTCACTACGCACTACTACCAGTCTACCACCACCTTACCGCGACCTGGGTTCCTTTTCGATTATTTTTTCCCTCTCCTCCTTCAGCCTGCACTTCCATCCATCACCCGGGGAGGTGTATTGGTTCTTTTCGTTTGGACTGCTTTCTTCATTTCGCCTTGCGCCGCCCCTCCTGCAAAGAACTTCTTCAACCGCCACGAATCTAATGAGCAGGCAAGAACAATGATATGGAACAAACGACACTTGTGAATAGGCGTCGGACTTGACTCGACCTTTGGCCTCCTTCTTCCCCCGACTTCTCGCGCCATCCACCTTCTCCGCCTGGGCTCTCTCGTGTGTTTCTGGTCTCCGGCTGAGCCTGCCCAAAGTACGAAGTACCTTACCTCACTTCAAGTGGACTCGACTCACTCACTCGACGACTCACTATTCCGGAAGTGACTCCTCTGATATCACCCTCTCATCACCCCCCGGACCAACTCACCTCAAACGCCATATAGCCTTGCGCCTTCTTCTCCTCGCCTATTTCTCACCATCTGCATCGTCGCTACCTTCCATCTATGCCCTTGAGCGACACTCGTTATTTGGAGCATTACTGCTGCTGCCACTTCTTTCACATAATTCCTGGATTTGAGGTCGACTTATCTACAATACCACTGTTCATTGTCACGTCAATATCAAACAACGACTCCACATCTCGCTCTCGTTTGTGATGATCGCAACCACCCCTCTCAGACTGCTCTACTGAAGCCCGCCCTCCGTGTGCAAGCTACAGCACCTTCCTCACGACAGCAACGACAACAATAACAGACTCGACGCCGGGCAGTATCGAGAGACGCAGCCATGGCATCGCCAAACGGGCCAAATGGTGAGTGAGCCCCGCCATGGACAGCCCTCCTACCCCTCCAAGCCCTAGGTCGACTGCTCTTTCCCTCTGCCAACCTCTGCCACAACAACAACAACAACAACAACCTCTTTCTGCCCATTATTTTGTGATTTCCAAATACTTACAACCTTTCCCACAAAAAGGCCGAGCAAATTACATCAACACCCAGCCTCAAACGCAGTCGTGGAATGCGCAAGCATTACTGAACCCTCGATCCTACGCCGTTTCAAACGCTGCTTCGAGGCGCAATTCACCCAAACCTCAGCACTTGTCGAACCGATCTACTCCGGGAAATCAAAATACCACAAACAACCCTGTTGTCTTCCAGTTCGCGAGTCCCAACGACACGACAAGCGAGTCTCTGACACCTAGCATCACCTCGGGCGCTTCAACTCCCGTTCACGACGGTGGCATTTCTCCATACGGAATGGCCAACATGATCGAGAGAATGAACGACGTCCAAGATCGCGCTGCGGCGCCCCTGCCTAAGCGACGAAAGGTTGATACCCCCGACCCAGAGTCCGACGCCGACAACAAGAAGAAGATGGGACCTGCCGGTAGCGGAATGCTCGGCGCATATGTGAAGGAAAAGCAAGACGAAGGCAAGAAGGAGAATTCCAAGGTTTCTACCCAGACTGTGGACTTAACTGAGGAGGGTGATGATGTGGTCATGGTGGAGGACCCCGCAACCGAGGAGGTCTGCTACGGCATGCTCACTGGCTTCCTCGACTGCCACAAGGTACCTTCCGCCAAACCGGGCACGCAGAGCATCTTTGGAGCCGACTTCATGCCACCAGTCAAGATTGTTTTGAAGCGAATCATCGGGGATTCGACCAAGAAGATCCAGGCCTACGACTACACCCGCGACATCATCGGAAATGTGGATGCCAATACCGCCAATGCTCTCGTTCCCCTGTTGGACTCCAACGTGCGCCTTCGAACGGACTGCAAGATTCCTGCGCGTAGAAAGCAAGCGGATGAGCACCCGGGCCAGGCGATCTCGAGATCCTACCCCGTGGAAATGACACTGTACGGCCAGTACAGATTCGTCAAGGCTGTCGGCAAGCACTTTGAGAGATTCAAGATTGTTCTGCGACATCCCAATAGAGTTGACAAAGGTGTCAGATATGAGAATGTTCATACCGATAACAAGCCTAACCCAGCGCCTGGTGCCAGAAACCTGGCCGGAGCTCTCGCTCAGTACAACAATCATTCCTCGTCTACCTACTACACCAACCCCACTCCACGCACTGTCGAAGAGATCAGATCGGACGTGATGGGCGTCTTCGACTCGATGGGAAAGACCGATGAGCTTCCTGAAATGGACCCAGCTCCTATCATCACCACCGAGTTACTGAAGCATCAGAAGCAAGGCCTCTACTTCATGACTGCGAGAGAAAAGGAGTCCACGGCCGAGGAACGAGTGAAGGGATCCATGTGGCAGCTCAAAATCGGGCCCACTGGACAGAAGTTCTACTACAATGTCATCACCGGCCACCAAGAGCGCACTCTTCCCGCAGACACCCACGGCGGATTGCTAGCCGACATGATGGGCTTGGGAAAGACCCTCAGCATCCTCTCGCTCATTGGCAGCTCGTTGGATCAGGCCAAGGAATGGGCAGGTCGCACACCAGTCCAGCCCGAGATGCCACCCCAGAAAGCTGGAGGAAAGGCAACAGCTTCGAGCTCTCTTCCTCTGACGGGCATCGCAATGAACGCCAAGGCTACATTGCTCGTGTGTCCCCTGAGCACGGTCACGAACTGGGAAGAGCAGATCAAGCAGCACATTGCGCCGGGAGAGTTAAGCTACTATATCTATCATGGTTCGAATAGAATCAAGGATGTCGAGAAATTGGCCGAGTTTGACTTGGTCATCACCACTTACGGCTCTGTCTCTAGTGAGCTAGGCGCTCGCTCCAAGCGAAAGTCTGGCAAGTATCCCCTTGAGGAGATTGGTTGGTTCCGAATCGTGCTGGATGAGGCGCACATGATTCGCGAAGTCGCGACCCTGCAGTTCAAGGCCATTGTTCGTCTTCAGGCCGCCCGTCGTTGGGCTGTGACTGGCACGCCCGTCCAGAATCGACTCGAGGACTTGGCCGCTCTCCTTCAGTTTGTCCGGCTGAAGCCATTCGATGACCGCAACAAGTTCAACCGGTTCATCGTGGACCCCTTCAAGGCCTGTGACACGGAGATTGTTCCGAAACTCCGCGTGCTTGTCGACAGTGTCACACTCCGCCGGTTGAAGGACAAGATCAATCTCCCGCCCCGAAGCGACCACATTGTCAAGCTCGACTTCACAGAAGAGGAGCGCGAGGTTTACAATCTCTTCGAGAAGAATGCTCAAGATCGCGTCAAGGTGCTTTCTGGCAACGGCGTACAGAAGGCGTTGGGTGGTCACACCTACATCCACATTCTTCGATCCATTCTCCGGCTTCGACTCCTTTGTGCCCACGGCAAGGATCTCTTGAATCAGGAAGATTTAGAGGCTTTGCAGGGTATGACTGCTGACATGGCTATTGACCTTGACAGCGACGATGAGGACAAGAAGCCCGGCCTTTCTGATCGTAAAGCATACGAGATGTTTGAGCTCATGCAGGAGACGAACACGGATGCTTGCAGCGCCTGTTCGAAGAAGATAGGAACCAACGACGACGCTAGCATCGAGTCCGAGGGACAGGAGGACATTCTCGGTTACATGACGCCTTGCTTCCACATCATCTGCGGTTCCTGCATTAAGGGTGTTAAGGAACAGGCTAGACGACTGCTCCCTCCCGGCCAGGCTATGGGACCTTGCCCCATCTGTTCCACCGTGATCAAGCCTGCCTACGTGGACATTCGTCGATCTCGAGTCAAGGTGGAGCACGAGGGTCCTGCGAAGGAGAAGACTGCAACGAACGGCCGCAAGAGCTTTGGAAAATACACCGGCCCGCACACAAAGACGAGGGCGCTGGTCGAGGATCTGCTCAAGTCAAAGGCTGACACCGATGCGAACCCCAATGAGCCGCCGTACAAGTCGGTAGTGTTCTCCACGTGGACCTCTCACCTTGACTTGATTCAAATGGCTCTTGACAATGTCGGTGTGAAGTACGTCAGGCTGGATGGCAGTATGACGCGTATTGCTCGAACTCAGGCAATGGATAGTTTCCGGGAAGACCACTCAGTCCACGTTATCCTGGTGTCGATCACTGCTGGTGGCCTCGGCCTGAACCTGACAGCGGGTAGCAACGTCTACGTTATGGAGCCTCAGTACAACCCTGCTGCCGAGGCTCAGGCCATTGACCGTGTTCACCGTCTCGGTCAGAAGCGACCGGTTCGAACAGTTTGCTACATCATGAGAAACAGTTTCGAGGAGAAGATGCTCGAACTGCAGGAGAAGAAGAACAAGCTGGCGAGTCTCAGCATGGACAGAAAGGAGCGGGTCTTTGACAAAAGCGAAGCGGCCCGGCAGAGACTGCTGGATCTGCGAAGTCTCTTCAAATAAGCCTCGATCAGATCGGCGGTGTGGAATTTTCGGCTTGCGCAAGCATATTATCGTGGCGTTTGGGAGTATAGGGAGGTAGGAATCCAGCAATGGAGTGGGGCGAAGCCAAGGCTTCAACGGTTTTCTTTTTCTTTCTTTTCAACGGCCGCCTACGAATGAGTTCACGACAATTCTTATTCGGTGGCTGCGATTTCGGTGTCAGGACGGGGGAGGCCATCTCACCTTTCACGCGTTCAACTGTGTGACAATGCGATCGATACCACTGCTTCAAGGTCTTCTATTCGATGATGAGAGCAACGGGGACGAAGTCATTTGAGGGGGGGTTGGGGGAGTATGGGAGGCAAGCTTCGAATCGTTCTTCCATGATTTGATCATGGGTATGTCAATGTGTGTCAGACTAGAATTGCATTAGACGTACGTAGGCGTCTTGCTCTTGCGAAAGGCAACGTCCTTCGGATAGTCGAAGATAAATGAATGGTACAACTTTGCAACAGAAACTCCGTAGCATTGAGAGGGCAGGATGTCTCGTGGACTTGGGTACTTTCACATGTGATTGCTCGAGGACCCTAGGTGTACATTTACGGTCGTCTGTTGACCCTCAAAGATAGCTGGCTGTTGAGCAGCCATGCAAGTCATACGGAGTTAAGGTGTATCCAGGAAGATCAAGAGGGGGGTATCCTTGTTCTAGAGCATGTCATTGTTGAATAGCCTCCCCCCTCCCCATCCCGAGGTAAACATCCAACCAAGCTATAGCGAGTACCTATCTGGAATAAATCCTAACGTCACCTAGTTCGTTTCGCCTCATCCTTGGAGTTTGGGTGAGTGGGCATTCATCGGTAGCGAAGTAGCTCGCATGAAATGATCGAGTTCTTTATTATGTGGAGTATTTGTGACATTTTTCGTGGTATCTTCCCGAGCTCTCAAGGAATTTTTTTTTTGTTGAGGGTGTGAGTAGGTAAGGTTGTATGCTGTAATGGTGTCACTTTTGCCGTTCCGCGGACCGACTAGTACGCCTGGGCTCGAAAGCCCGTGTGAGACACGAATGATGGGAAAGAAAAGCATTGAGCGGTGCATTGAGCCCGCCCTGCGGCCGACGGCCGTTCGTCCGGGTCTCCGCCCCAACCTGGGAAGATCTGTGAAGGAAGGCTGTTTGTTGACTTTTGCTCGTCGTTAAGCGCCTGCCCAGCTTACCTTACCTTACCGGCTGTGTGGGGGGCATCTCCAGAAGGGCAAGTCGGGCTCGGTAGATGCTTAGAAGCGTACAAATTAGAGAACGAACCAGGGGGGGAGAGAAAAGCATGTGATTGTAACTTCTGGTTGCAAGAAAGCGTGGAGATGTACCTGGATGGTGTCCCTTTCGTGTAGTCGGGAGAATACTGATGAGCTTCGTCCAACGTGGCAGGGTGAATAGAGATGTGATGAGTATGGGTTAAGCCTTGAGCAATCGTGGCCGCGTCATGGACAATTCTCTTGTTCTCGGCTGGATGAATTTAGTCGATAGCCGTCAGCTTTGTGAAGGTATTGCTCAAGCGCAAATTCAAATGTCAAGTTGATCACGGATGTTGGCAAATACAAGGTTATTTGAAGTGAAGGTTGTTATTGTCATTCTCGCCCTTTTGATGGGCTTTCCATTTTTCTAGTCTAAACAGTTTCTCATTACTGTTATAGTGAACGCCCTCTTGCAATGCCTAACCCCGCAAACGCCTAAAAATGTCCCAAAAGTGTGAGGTTGGCAATTGCTCTCACCTTCAGCCGAAGCTGAAGTGTCAAAGGCGTGTCACCCTAGAACGGCTTGGATATGCCGTGGTGACGATGGTTTCAACAGAGCCAACCCTATGGCCAGATTGTATCCACCAATCCATTGAAGTGAAAGTCAAGCGCTCCCACATCACCCGCCTCGATTTGTTTGTTTTAAACAAGCCTCCCAAAGTCATTAAACTGCCCTATCATCATCTCGTTCATGCAGCGTCGGCGCTAGCAACGGGAACAGCAACACGGGTGAGCTGATCTCCCGCACGAACAATGCGCTCGCCACTTGAGTCAGTGACAGTAGTCATGTCCTTGTTCTCGTACTGGGCGCGCTTCCAGATCTCAACCTCGCAACCGCCACGGAGAACACCAACACGCATGGTAGAGAGCAGGTTGTGAGCGGCGTTCGAGTGGAGGTAGACACCACCGTTGAAGATGGCGGTGGCATCCTTGCCGAGGGCGGAAGAAATGAGAGCCTTGCCACCGGGGTGCTCCTGGATGAAGTCGGTCACGTCGTGAATGACACCGGCAATGGCAACGAGACCTCTACCGTTCTTGGCCTGTGCCTTGAAGTCGTCCCAGTCGATGACAGGCAGCTGCTCCAAGGGGACACCCCAGTCGAGCTTCGCGCGCTTCTGGTCAAGCTTCTTCTGCAGCTGCTGGACACGGCCCTTCTCAATCTCGTTCTGGCGGAATTGCTTGAGGTCGGTAGCGAGGCCAAGCTGCTTCCAGGTCCAGATGCACCACTTAGTGGGGTCGTACTGCCACCACTGGATGGCGTTGCGGTAGTCGGAGGGGAACTCGTGGTGGAAGTTGTGGTATCCCTCACCGAGGGTGACGAGGGCAGTGATGACGTGGTCACGAGGTGAGTTGCGGTCGTCGAAGGGCTGGTCACCGAGCCAGTGAGCCAGGGAGTTGACGCAGAAGGTAGCCTGCTGAACAACGAAGATGCGAAGAATTCCACCGTAAACGTAGCCGCCGAGCCAGTCACCCCAGCCGAGGCCGCAGAAGACTGTGGGGAAGATGACACCCATGGCGAGAACACACTTGATGAAGTGAACGTGCTGCCACATGACGACGGGGTCCTCGTTAAGATCGGAGATGTCGGTACGGCCCATACGCTTAGGGTCCTGCTTCATGACCATCCAGCCGATGTGGCTGTACAGAAGGCCCTTGCGAACGGAGTACGGGTCCTTGTCGGTATCGGTGTAGCGGTGGTGAGCACGGTGTCCGTGAGACCACCATCGGATGGAACCCTCAACGGCACCGGCACCGACAGCGGCGAGGTAGATTCTGAGAGGAAGGCTGGCCTTGTAGGAGCGATGAGCCCACAGACGGTGGTAGCCAGCGGTGATACCGAGACCGGTGTTGAAGTAATAGACAACGGCGAAGACGGCGGTCTTCCATGTAAGAGGAATCCAGTAGGAGCAGATGAATCCAATCAAGGGGACAATCAAAATGAAGGTCGTGTTGAGCCAGTTGACATGCTTGTACCAGTTGCTCGCGGTGATTGGCTGGGTTGAGCTATTCTCATTGTTAGTTGCCATTTCATCTTGGTTTTGTTGGGAAAGCTGCCAACGTACATGTGAGGCTTCTTGATATCGTAGGCCTTGGCACGGGTGGGAACGTAGTCGGAAGTTCCATCGGGGAAGTTCTCGGCCTTGGTGACCTTTGCGTCGGAAGATGAAGTCGTCGCCGACATCTTGAAGAACGGAGCCAGTAGGCTGCAAACTGTGAATCGGAGGTTGTGGTCGGAAAACGAGTATTCCGAGGTGTCTGTTAGGAGACAACTCCAACGATGCTTGGTGAAGAAGCAACGTTTGCAATCAGACTTGCTGATTAGAAGTCCAAGTGGGCAATGGACTCTCGAGGGAAGAAGAGGTCTAGAGGAGAAACGGCAAAGTGGAAGGGGTGGGTGAAGAGTTGTGAATTATATAAAGGGAAAAGGATAGGTTGAAAGGGCCCCAGTAAGGAGGGAACAGGTACGGAGGCCGGGGTACCTTTGGGCGAGGTGTCCGCCACCCACCAGGTTCAAAATCCCAGCAAACGAGAGAGTGGAAAGGGTGGGATAGTGGTGGGGAGGGGGGGGGGGGGGTCAGTGAATCAGATCAGTTAGTTTAGACCCAGGTCAAGTCACAATCAGCCGAAAAAATGCAAAGACAGATGGGTTTCGTGGGCCGTGGGGTTAGACTTGACTTTTTTTACGTCTTTGCTGGCACGCCGGACCGCTGGCTGGATGGGAGGAAAGGGCGGGACCCTCTCGATCTGGGCCCGGGATTTGCAGGCGGAAAATGGGCAGATAGGAAGGGGGAAGAAGAAGCTTCCTCGCGAGACCCGCTAACAGGATTCGTTGTCCTGCCTCCTTCCCGAGATGTACCGGACGACGCGTGTATCCGAATGGCGGGAACACTGAAGGCTCTAAGCAGTACTTCGTACCTTCCATCCTCTTTAAACACCTTGCGGAGAAGGTACCAGACTGCGCTTCACGACGAGGCCGAGAAAGCAGGCTGGCAGGGCAGGAACGAGAGAAATGTACTTTTCCCCAGTGCCTCCTTCCTGCCACAAGTCGGAAGGTGAAAGGTACCTCGCTTCCAACCTGGGGGTGGGCAAAGACCATGTCCCCCTTGCAGTTGTACCGATGAGTGTGTGTGTTGCAGACTGACCAGAACAGGAAGTGACCTTCTCCTTGCCTTACGTCTATCACAGTAGATAGCCATGCATAAGCAGGTATTTTCCCTGACTTTGGGTAGTAGCTATACCCAATGATTACCAAATCGGCATACGAACCACCCAGTTACCTTACACTTCCTCTGCGAGTCTGCAAGTTGTAAGCGATAAACGATCGGTGTGCGTTACGACCACCTTGTGATTCAGAGACCTCGAGACTTGGATACTCGAATTCGTGCAATTCCTCCGTCTGTCCGCCTCTGGCCTGACTTTTGGATATCCAACAACTTACATCCTAACCTCACGCCCACTCGCAGAGCATCATCATCTATCAAAGACGTACCTTTCTTCGTTGGGATTGAGGCCTGGAGAGCTCCAACTCCTATTCAGATCCCGCAGAGGAGCCCTTCAAATTGGACGTTGGACCAACAAAAACTGATCCAATGTCATCAATATCGACGCGAACAGGAAGAAACATGCCATGAACAGCCTGACAGTCAATAATCAGAAGCAAATTCGGAACCTGCCAACGCATAGGAACACTCCGCACAGCCGAGGATAGGACGATGAAAGGCTCCAGATCAGGTCACACTTTCCGTTGGCTTTTTACGACACCCTGTCTGTCCCGCAAGCTATGGGGTTCGCCTGGAGGTTGTCAATCTGCAATGGGCGACTGGGCTGGTAAGCACGCACGAGATGTGGTCCGAAAAAAAATGTCCCGGCTCCCAACAAGTTCCCCAACGCTTTTCAATATGACGGCCCGTTCATTGGCGGAAGCAGGGGGCTGCCCCTGCCATGTGGCCGCCGCTGGGGCGGGGCGGATGGGCGGCTGGAATCAACCATTCCCCATTAGGAAGTCAGCTCCACACTGTACCTCCAGATCCCACGACTCCAATGTGTCTCCAGGGCTGAAATGAAGACCTGCCATTCTCTCAGAAATCGCACCAGACATGTTTACACACTTCGCATCAACCATGTCGTCTCGATCATCATTCCCAAACTGAGGATCGCTTCTTATTCCGACGCTGTCCCCAGATCCTCATGACGGTGGCAAAGTCTCGTACATCACTGTCGGCGCTCGGTTCCTAGGCGAGTTACGACGCAATCGAAAGACGTTTCGACAATCATCGAGCGCCGTGAGCCTTTGGGTCCTTGGACTTTCACGTTCCCTTTACTCCGTAGTTCCTGTCTCACCGTACTTGCGGCTGTACCTTTGTACCTGCAGCCGCCCATCACACTGCCGCTTAGAACATCTCATCAATAGCTGTTTACCGCCCTTCAGGCGACAACAGGCAACGGCCAGTTCTCGGACCAGCGGGCACTAGGTACTCACCTTTGAAGTCGAGAACATAGGATCCTGATGAAAGCCACTCACCAGTTGCGAGCTCTATATTAGCTGGTTCTCATGCCAACAGGTCGATGAGTATGTCTCCAACGATCTTTTCATTATTATCGCTCCTCCATCGGATCGTGCGCCGAAACTTACATGCCGAAGCAGCAGAAAGGCTCGGAAGACAGAAAAAAAAAAAAAGAGGAAATAATCAACAGTGGCGGCGGCTTGTGCAATCCAGGTTCGCCCTCAACATGTTCCCCACCAGAGCTCCATTCAATGACGGAAGTCTCTCGTCGCCCCCGAGCTTTACTGTGGTAAGGCTCCCCCATTGACAGGGGCTGGCCTTGTCTCTTTTCTGTTCCTTATCGCCGAGGCGACCACATCGTCCAACTCAAGATTACGCCAACTGCCTCTCACCCACTTTCCTCCACGGTCACTCTCTCGAACATTCTCGGTCAGCGGCGAGTGAACACTCGATGACACCCACGAGCCAGCTCGATTTCGGTGTGCCAAAAGCATCCTCGGCAACTCCAGGTCCCAGGTCCATAGTTTCGCGACACACCCAGTCCGGCCCTTGATTTCGCGTTCCCCGGTGATCTTGTTAAAGAGAAAGACGACATCCGCTCATCCCACTCCGGCATCCCGGCCCATCCCCAACAGAAACAGGACCCTGCCCCGCAATCCTCCACCCCAGTGCTGCAGGACACAACAGGGATGAAAGGTGTCTTTGCCTCGCTATCGTCCCGAGGTTGTCTGCCCGTGGCTATTTGGCGAACCGTCTCTTTGCCATGCGCATTCTCGATGCTCCCTTTACAGCGGTGGCAAGGGTCACGTGTTTTCTCACAATTCTACGCTTGAACATTCAAGGTCGGCGATGGCCATTTGCAGTGTACGGAGTACAATCGCAAAAGGGGACTCCAGGGCCTTGTCTTCCAAATCTTCAGCTGGTTGGGCTGACCTATTCTGGAATGTTTCTATGCTAACCCGATCTGGCGATGCGCCCCCCCTCGCACTTGGCCGACGCCACACCCGATCCGCCCTGCCAATCCCCGTCACCACCAGAGCAAGAGAGATGCACTTCTGGCACTCCTTCACTTTTCGTCCCATCCTCTTTTTTGCAGCCGCTGCTGCCCAGAGCTCTCTATCCGTACCTTAATATTCTTAGCCGCACCTGAGTTGTGTGAGGCGACTCGAGCTCCAAGCTCCAAGCTCCCTTTTGAGCTTGCTTGCCCAGCTTTGACGCCCTTGTCACACACCTACCTTTATCGGTACTTCAGAAAGTCGGGAAAGGGGGACCAGCATATTTACACACACCGCTCTGGTCTTTTCAAAAGTCCAGACTTGCCATTTTTCTCAGACTTACACTAGCATCTAGGCCATTTTCCCTTGAAAAAGACTGCCGAAGCAGTGGCAAATCGACCGCAGAAACCCCCTGGGACTCTTGGAGTACCTACACCTCCCAACTACATGGCTTACACTGACTCTTGATTTACATGGTATTCTACAACGGACATCACCTCTCGAACGAAAGAAAAACACTGGCCGCTTGTATATGGTTGATGGAAGAGAAGGGCAACTCATCTTATGATCGGGATTCTCACTTTGGGCAAACAACTCCCTTGAGCTGCAAAGTCGTTTGCGCATCCACGGCCATATTTCTCGCCCAACTCTGGTATTCACAGCCAGAGCTCTGCTTTCGATCCCACGATTTCTCGATTTCACGACATCCAACAATGCAAGTCGGTTCACGTCCCGAGTCTTGGTAAGGATCGAGGTTGACCAAAAGTCGTCTTCTATTCCACGTACAGTGTTCCCCGGACCTTTACACCAAGGCTATGCCGCAAAAAATCAAACATTGCGACCACCAACTTGATTCGTATGCTGGCAGTACCATCATCAAGCAAAGAAAAAGAAGAAATGGCGCCTCCCGATGCCTCGACAATCAACCTGCGCCTATGCAAAATCGCCTTCAGTTTCCCCCGCTGCTAGTCTTACATCATATCATCTCTGGGCATCTGTCGTCGTTGCTGTTGTCGCCGTTGCGAAGTCATCATCAAGGGATGTCTTCTCTCGCATCGTTTGCTCATCAGTGTCGATATGTGCCGCGCCAACCCCTTTGAGTTCTGGTGTATCTGCCCCTTGAGCTTCCGTGGGGTTGTCTGTCGTGGGTACTTGAGTAGTAGTAGGTGACTCCGCCGCTGCAGCCTCTTGCTTTGTAGACTCGAGCCCTGGTCCGGCCGTTTGAGCGGCATTGGTTTCGAACTCAGTTTCGGCGACTTTCAGGTCGTCCACAGCTGGCTCCTTTTCTGTCGAGCCCGCTATCGTGACATCTTGTTGCCCGTTTCTGTTCAGTTCTTCGGGTTCTGTTTCCCCCGTTTTTCCGGGCGCTGATTGCCCTACTGTTCCTTTTCCGTTTGAGGAACTCCCTTGCGTTCCTTCTGACTCTCTCACGTTCACCTCCTCTTCCTCCACGTCTTTCCCCTCTGTTTCGATATCCTTGATCGTCATAGGACTGGTCATTGCAGGTCGTGTCTCAATGGGATCGACGGTAGCAGTTGCCTCAAGCTTGTGACTCCGCAACGTGTCGACTAAGCCTTCTCCAATGAGTCTTTTGCCATCTTGTCCTGGCGTATGATCGAGTTCGGCCCGATCGAGGGCGGCGAGATCACTGGATAGGGGAGTCCACTGCAATGCTTCCAGCTTTTGTCGGACTGACTTGCTTGTCTCCTCCAATGGCTCGGGCGTAACGATGGAGTCCTTGCTTGTAGTCGGTGTGGCGCTCTTTTGATCGTAAACCTCATCTGCCCCAATATCGCTGTACGATGGTGCAATATTTCTAGCTTCAGCCCAGCTGGAGATATTACGTCCCATGTTAGGCGAGTCGCAAGGCCCATAATGACTTGGTAGTGGGCTTGGAGGAGAGCGGCCTCTAGTGTAGTAGTACGGGTCCTGTGAGAAGCCCCTCGTCGGCTCGTCAACATAGGGTTGGCCCAGGTTTACGTACGACCAGTCGTGAGCTGGCTGAACGGTCTTGACCCTCGCGTAGCCGTGGTTGCCGTCCACGAAGTATTCCTGCATGGTGTAGCCGTCGTCTACCGAGATTGACGGGGGTGCCATGTCGTCTCCATCCGCGGGCTCTGGAAAGAGGGACATGAGAGACGAGGCTTGCAACCGAAGGCGCGGATCTTCGCTCAGGCAAATGTCTACGATTTGCCGATACCAATCTGGAACAACGTATTCGTCTCCGAGCTGTAGCGGCCGTCCTTGGGCCTCAGGCTCATCATCCTGTGCTGCCAATGCCCACAAGACCATGCCCAGTTGATAAAGGTCGGATTTGACGCCAATGTACATGGAAATACGCTGGTTACTTTCGATAAGAGGCGTTGCTTCAGGAGGCTCCCAGCCCACTGGGCAGCCCCTTCTGTTAATGTCAATAATCTTGGCATCATCGTCATCA